GGCACAGAGCGAGTCCAATGGATCGAGAGCGTACCAACAAAGAAGAGGCCCCACGCGCCACAGCCAAAGTGAAGCTGCGTGGCTTCCAGGGGATCGTCGAACTGGATCTTCATGGAGAGCATGTTGAGCAGAATGAGCGTCCAGCTGGCGCCGAAGCCGCAGAGGATGGCGGCCCAGGGCTCCACCACGGAGCACCCCGCCGTGATGGCCGCGAACCCGCCCAGCAGCCCGTTGCACACATCTGTCACGTGCCAGCAGCCCTGCGGGTGGGAAATCACGAGGGAAATATTCAAGACAGGAAACGCAAGGGTGAGAGGAGAGAACCATCAGTCAAGCGCCAGAAACCCTACTCGAGCGACAACAAGGTAGGGGGGACGCAAGATATAACCAGCACCCGTATTGGTTTTATGTGAGGGGGAAACCCAATATTAATCACCGTTTTTTTTTTTTTTTTTGCACGTTGCTGGAATTAGAAAAGCAACTACTGCTGGAGCTTGGAGGCGCTTACAGCGAGGAGTCTCTTGGCGATGAGCGTGTTGACGGCAGCCATGCAGCCGGAGAGAGTGGTGGTGACGGCGGTGCGGCCCACCCACGACCAGTTACCCAGCACGTCAGTCCACGGGATGGTGATGCGCAGGAACGACCCGGGGTTGAAACCGTACCATCCGAACCTGCCAGGATGACACCGTACCGTTGCAGTCACAGCACAGGCATAAAGTGAGACAGGAGCAGCAGCAAAAAAAAACAAAAAAACAGCCAGACCCATGCATATTATATCTATTTTCAAGCAGTCAAGGGCACATAAGTGAGCGTAGGGACTCACCAAAGGAGGAACGAGCCGAGCACAACGAGCGTGGCCGAGTGGCCCTTCATCTCGAGCGGGCGGCCGCCCTTGTCAAAGCGGCCGAGACGCGGGCCCTCGATGAGCGCGCCCCACATCCCCGCGACGCCGCCCACCATGTGCACCACGCCGCTGCCCGCGAAGTCGATGGCGCCCACGTCGAGGAAAAGGTTGTTCGTGTTGAACGCTGACAGCCACCCGTTCTGCTCAGAGGGATGAGAGCGGAGGTAGGAGAGAGAACACGGCAAAGGGTATTGCGGTTTGCGGCGTGATATCACGTCCAAGCCGATGGCGCCCACGTCGAGGAAGAGGTTGTTCGTGTTCAGCGCTGACAGCCACCCGTTCTAAGACCAGAGGAAGGGGTATAATGGAACACACCAAACGCGCGGAGATAAAACAGCACGAAATATTGGTGAGTTACGGCGCCAAGGAGGGTTAACGACACGCGTTGGTGAGTTAGAAGGAATGAAAATATGCAGGCTTTGGAGGGACAGAGGAGAGCAGGACTCCTGACTAAATAAGACTCGTACCGTGGCCCAGATCCAATGCGCGACGACGGGGTAGACGAAGCCGGTCAGGAACGTGGAGCATACGAGGTACATTCTCAGGCGACTCAAAGTCAGCGGGCAGCGGGAGCGGGCGGCGGGGAGGGGGGATTCATACCGTGGCCCAGATCCAGTGCGCGACTACGGGGTAGACGAAGCCGGTCAGGAAGGTCGAGTACACGAGGTACGCCGTGAATTGCGTGCGCTCCGCGATGGACCCCGACGTGATGCCCGCGCACGCGATGGCGAAGGCCCACTGGAACATCCAGAAGCTGAAATCGTAGATGTAGTTGATGCCAGGCGCGTCGAACGACGTGTACACCGGCAGGCCCGACATGGCGAAGTAGTTGGCTCCGATAAACGCGTTACTGCGAGGGGGCAGGAGGAACGAGGAACGGAGGGGAGAGTTTGTTAACGAATCGGGACTTCAAATGACAAGGGACGATACCGTGGAGAGATCAGCAAAAGGACGGCAAATGCGCCGTTTGAAAGACAAAACCAATGTGCACTTCTGACAATACTGGTGTCGGAAACTGCTAGATACCTGGTTCCTCCTTGGCCGAAAGCGAAGGCGAATCCGAAAATGTAGAAGGAGAGGCCTCCGACGCAGGCATCGAGCACGTTGGTGAGCATGATGTTCATCGTGTTCTTCGCGCGCACCGTTCCCGCGCACAGCATTGCGAAACCAATCTGCGAAACGACAAAACCATTGGAAAAGAGTTCAAAGTAAGTCCATTGTAGAGTTCAGGTTTAAATGTAAACAAGACAGCCAGAAAGAAATCGGGGAGTCGAGGAAGGTAGAAATGAAAGACAGCAGGCACCTTGCCATTAGGTCGTAGGGATTAGGTAACGTCGTGACTTACTTGCATGGCGAAGACGAGGTAGGCGGAGAAGAGGAGGTACGTGTTGTCGACGGCAAGCTGCGTCCATTGGAACTGCGCCGCGATGAGATCGAGCTTGCTGCAGAAGAAGCTCGCGAAGTCCGCCTCGCCGACAGTCATGTTCGGGAACGTCGCGGACAGCATGGCCGTGTCATTCTCGCTGCACATGAAACTGTACACGGAATTGTACAGCCCGAGAGTGGAGGTTGTAACCTCCGAGTAAGTCGCCATGGCGGCTGCACTGACAGCGCCAAGGACACACGCAGAAGACGGAGAAACACTCTTGACGTGCCTCGTTTACAAGACGATCTGCAATGATAGCTGCTCCAGAACAACCGAGCTACGATGAAAATGAATACTAAAGATTCCAGCTTTGAGATTATATCTTAGCTCAGCCCCGTGTCCACTAGGCACAACCCGTGTCTAACCCGAAAAGGCTTCCGAACCACGCTTCTAGATGTAAAAGAAGGTACCGAGCCAGGGAGTTCGTTACGGGCCGAACCAGAGCCACTAGCTCATGCCAAAAAATGGTTCGCCGAAGCTCATCCACAAGAGCAAACGAAACAAGATTGGTTCGGTACCAAACGGGAACATGTCGAGCCTGTCATTTTGGGTAACTCTCGGGGGAACGTGAGCGCGCGAAGGCCGTAGATTGGCCGACGATGACGGGAATAGTCGCAGATGGTTGAAGACAGGACGTATGCGAATGTACTCGGTGAGCGCGACGCGGTCGAACCAGCGCCGACGAGTTTGACGGCGTCGATGGAGTGATTTTGGAGGCCCGGCGTGCGAACCACGGTCAAATGAAATTCCATGCCAGAAACGGCGACGTTTTTTGACGAATAGAATCGAACCTTTCAACCACGAGGGTATTCTGAGAGGCTAGCTTGTGCTAACATGTGACCACGTGGACAATGAAGTGCAACATCCGCCACGGGGTCACGAACACAGACCAGGTGGTTGCACCAAATCAAGAAAGCGTGGCGGCGGCTGGGGTGGGTGAGGTGGGGTGGTGGGGGTGGGGGGGGGGGGGGAGGAGGGAACGCTGGGGGAAAGGTGGCTTGAGAGGTGCTGGAGGGTGGGGGGAGGAGAGAGTAGTAAAGGGGGTGGGGGGAGGGCGTACAGTGTCACTCACGCGTGAGTCAAATTGCTGCTGTCCACTGGCTAACTGGACTGCAGAGAGCCCAAATCGCTTGTCTGTTGCAGCCAAGCATATGTTTTTTATCTACCAATCGAAGGAGAGGAGACTGCCACGTGTGCAATAGAGTGTTCAGAGTGCCAAGCTGGCACGACATGTGTCGGGAGCTCAAATCCACCAATGAAATGGAAGGCAATCAGTCACTCTGTAACTTGCAACGTACACTCCATACTAGACATCACGCCTTCGTTTCCAACTAAACTGCTTAAGAATCAATTTTAGGTATATTATTTTGTATGCCTGTTTCAGACTCCCTTTCCCTATCCAACATGCCTTATCATGTCCCTTCCCAGCAACGCTCCGTTGTATCCACACATGTCAAATTCTCTATTTGCTGGCGAACAGCACCCATGTGTTGCCTTTCCCTCCCCCCTGCACCCTTGCTGTACAAAACTTACCTCTGCTCCAACCCTTCTTGGGGCTTTGGTTAGAGCGGCACACAGACTAGAAAATGTAGTCCACAACTCCTACTTTGTCCATCAAGCACTAAGCCCTTCCCAAAGTATGCCCTCAATGTTTCCATCCCCAACAGGCAGCTCCAATAGCTGGCTGGCTCCACTTCCTCCCCCTTAGCAACTTTCTCAACACATAGATGCATCGAGCACACAGTTCTCTATCCAGACCACGTTCATGTGATTCAAATATCTCAACACAGGTGGGCACGAGTGCCAAAACATGGAGAATAGTCCAGTGTAGAGGTATGGGCATTCCACCCTGCCAACTCATAACCTAGGTATCTAATCTATAACTTCTTTCCTGCCAATGACGGTTCGCGAAGCATATTCGCATACATCATATCCACCCACGCGTCTGGCACACCCGGCAAGCACCAATGCGTGCAGTCCCCTGAAAAAGGGGACTCGCCGTTGCCAGCTGGCGATCCAGGACCGGTCGAAGGCCTCCTCTTGAACCAGGGTCCCTGATGCGCATCAGGCCGCATCGCGCTCAGGCTGGTAACCTGGAGGAACCGTAGCGTCGAACCCATCAGTGCAGTTTTCTGCGTTGTCATGTACGCTTCGGACGTGGGAAGCGATAACGAGTAATCCTTTATGGCGAGCTGTTCGGACATCGGTTTTACCGCTCCGCATGCGCCAACCCAGGAAGGTTTCCCCCCGGCTGAAGCACCCTGGTACACTCCGTTTTGCGGGTTGCCCGCGCCGCCGTGGTGGGGCGAGAACGAAATAAAATACGGCACGCCGCCGTAGTTGGAAGTTTTTAGGTACGAGCCGAGCGTATTGAGAGCCCACGCGTGCGCATCGAGATTCGAGAGGTTCTTCGGGGAGTTATTCACGAAAAAGACGTTTGGCTGCTTGCGGCGCGGGACGTTCTGCTGCCACCAGACGCCCGACGCGAAAACCGCCATGGCGTATTCTGGAAGGATCTTCGCGACCGTCGGATGCATCTTGTCCACGTGGACGTCGTAGCCGTGTCCGCCCTTCGCGTCCGCGGTCTGGGCGCCGCGCGTGATGGCGTAGACGAGGTAGGGCGAGAAGAGGTGCTCGATGGAAATGCCCATGCGGGGAAAGTGCACGCCTTTAACGTTGAACACGCCCCCCGTGTTGCGCTGGTAGGGCTGGGGAAAGGGAAGGGGAAGACGGGAGGCGGAACGGGGGATTGGGGTGAACTTTAGATAGGAGAAGGAAAGGTAATGTGGGGGCGGGCGGAGGGGTGAGAGGGGGGGAAGTGGGGGGGAAGGAGGAGAGAGTGGGAGAGTTGGATACACGTGGGAGGGTTGGGAGGGAGTGAATGGCGAATGGGGTCGGTAAGTGGAGAATATGGCGAGCGCGTTTTTCCATTCAAATGCGAAAACTGCCCTGGCGCATAAGGCATGCCTCACCTGGCCCTTGAAGCCGCCGATGTGGATGGCGCAGAGCAGCGCCTCGTAGAAATTGGACATCATCGAGTCGCCCACCAGCAGCACTTTCTGCGCCGAGCGCGACGGAGACGGGGGGAGAGCAGGGGAAAAAGGGGGACATCGGGGGGAATGGGGGGTTAGTGGGGGTGTGGGAGGAGCGCAGCGCCTCGTAGAAGTTGGACATCGTCGAGTCGCCCACCAGCAGCACTGTCTGCGCCACGAGTGACAGGAGGGGGGAGTTGAGGGGGAGAAGGGAGAGGAAGGAGGGAGGGGGGCGCGGGTAGGTACGGGGAGAAAGTGGATGAGACAAATGACGGAAGTGATGGGTGTGAGAGGTGGGCAGTGGCGATTCGAGATATACTTAATAAAAAGGAGAGGAACCCATTAGAACCCGCATCGCACCTTCTGCTTGAGCATGTACTTAAAGCCCGAGGGGCTGAAGTATGAGTACATGCACTGCTTGGGCTGCCAGCGGTACCACTGGAACCGCATGTCCGCGCGCCCGTTGCGCTCGCACGCGAAATCCGACCGCACGTAAGGGCACGAGTTGGGCTTCCCCGGAAGTGACGTATACCGCGGAAATCCTCTGGTCCCCTTCCGCCACTCCCCGGTCGTGAAGTCGCATTTCGCGTTCCGGACTGGAGGGGGAAAGGGATGGCGGAGTTGGCGGCGGGTGAGGCGGGGTTATGGGGATTGGGAGTGCGTTGTGCGAGAGTAAAGAGTTGTGCAAGCACGGCACCAGTCTTCGAAATGCATAACTTTTCTCACGTACTAACTACATTTCCTCCAGTAACAAGCTGATGATGACTCCGGATGACGTGTTGAGGACTGGCTGACCTTGAGGCGCTAGTGCTGCTCCCGGAACGGCGAGCTGCGCGAACAAGATGACCTTTGAGTCGACTCAAAAGTCGCCTCATACAATGCTGACGATGACGTGTCAACGATGACTGACCTTGAGGCGTTACTGCTGCTCCTGCAACGTTGAGCTGCGCGAACACTCCCACGACCGCGATGACGGCGATGACGATGGACATCGCTACTGAGTAACCCCGTTTCGTGCCCGCTAATGCAATATTTCGGTGCTCGTCAAAAGCTCCCATCTTCGACCGTATGCGTGCACTGATTACACACAGATCCAAAACTGTGGGTTTTGCCGAACAAATCAACGCAGTTCTCCAGCAGAGGAGGCCTTCTGTTATCCCTGTGAAGGCTGCTGAAAGAGCATGCCTCCTTCTGTAAAGCGAACAGGAATGGGCGAGAGAGGCGGGACGCCGCTAGCAGCGTCGAAGGAATCTACTGGGTATGGCGACTGAGATTCGCCGAGTGTTCTGGATAGCTGCTGAGTCCTGACTAGAGCGTGGCAGCCGGGAGGGTTGCTAAAGCAACGACTGTATTGAAACTAGGGTTAAGGTTCCAAGGGGAGGCCAGAGTGATGCCTTCGGGTTCCTCTGTCCTCGGGTCGGCTTTTGGTTTCCCACTAGTATCGCGCGAGGTTGCTTGAGGGTTGAGTAATTTAGGGCCTTGACTAAGCTCGATGACTCACACGCAGCGGCGACATGAATCTGGTGGCTGTGGTTGAATGAAATCGCCAACAACGGCGGTGGGCGAGGATCAGATTCAACCCTAGCGCGCAATGCGGCGCCTCAAAAGGAGTCGCGGATCGGGTTGGAAGGGGATGTGGGGCCGAAGGTCGAATTCTGGGGCTCTAGTCGACAGTGTTGTTATCGGGCACGAATTTCCAAAAGAAGTTCACCGACACCAAGATTGACCAACAAATGGAAAGTAGGTGTCCACAGGCTTGAATATTTTGTAGCAGCGGAAGGATGAGTGAGTTTAGTGCGGGATGGCGGAGCCAGCTCAACCGGGCTGGGGTGGTTCGTGCAGACTTGCAATCCACATGTTGGTCGGTTGAAAGGCTGCAGCTTTCGACTGGACAGTGGAGGACATTCCACCATGGCGATTGGGGGAACGGGATGGCAGGTGAAGAACTGTGTTTCCGTCATTCATCCATTCCCATTTCCTAGTTCAACATTTCGAGCCGCGAATTGACTGCACATTGCTCCTTGTGCAGAAATGCACAGCGAAGCTCGTGCATGGCGGTGCGAGTGATGCTTGCGAAACCCGTCGTCGGTTCGAGCGCGAAGAGGCTGCCGCGCAAACGCGAGATTGCTGGGTGGAAAAAAAACGTGGCTGGGTCAGAGTCGAAAGGGTGCTGTGGTGAAGACCAATTTCAGATACACTTTTTTTAGCCTAACAATACCGGTATCAATGAAGCTTAGGTTAGGTAGGCCCCCCTATACCATAGTATATTCACAATTACTCACCTGGTAGCAATCCCTGGTACTTCATCATATCGGGTATTTTACCAGGGGGTTTTATAATTAAGCTTTCACATTCACGCGCTTGGGGTCTTAACCTCAGCCCCGACTGAACTTCACACAAACGCATGCACTTACGCGCCTTAGCACATTAAGTATACCGGTAACCTTGTCTAGCTAGCGTGTCGTCCGGGTTAAGAAATGAAAACGTTCCTTCAATCACATTAATTTGGCAATAAACTGGATAAACATTACACACTTTTCCCCAAGACAGAAACTCATACTGGATCCAAATAGTATCAGAAGTACAAGCAGTTTGTAACAACTGAAACAGCGAACGGTTCAAGCAGCAGGCGGGTCAGAAAGTAGAAAACCACTCCCAACCCAATCGAGATGGGCAGCGCAGGTAACGCCCGCTTCTGTAACGCCAAAAGCACAAGTGTAGCGCCCAGCCCTGCAATTATCGCAAGGTAACACGCATACACTGTCATCAAATCGTACATGGCAGCCCTCCCCACCAGAACACCATAGAAGATAAAATCTCCCATTCCAAGCTTGATGGCGCTTGGGAGGTCCGGGCCGAAGCTGCTGCTCGGCTCCAGTCTCGGGCTCGGCAGATAGTGAATATCATCTGGGTCGTCAACGGCATAAGCATGCACCTCTTGGTTCGGTTGCAAGCCGATCCTGCCAGGCTCGGCATTCTGCCCTCTGCCGTGGCTGCTTGTAGCAGCAGCGGTCGTCGATGCACCTGCAGCTGTGGTAACAGCGGCTCTGGCAGCTGCAATGGCAGCAGCAGCAGCAGCAAAACGAGAAGAACCATCACCACCACCATCATCAGCACCAGCTTGCACAACACCAGCATTAGCGCCCACAGCACCACCAAAAGCAGAAGCAGCACCAGTAGAAGCACCAGCGACAGCAGCAGCAGCAGCAGCAGAAGCAGCACCAGCAGAGGCACAAGCACCTTGTTCTGGATCCTCTACATGAACTGAAGACAAGTCAGCCGACCACCCTCCGCTGACCCCACGATCCACACTGCCCCCCCACCCACCAGAACCAAGCAAGCTATGCGGGCGACTGCTACCCTCAGCAACGGAGTGTGGAAACCCATCTGCTCTGCCTGGCACCGCTCCGCACCCCACTGCACCCCCACTCACCTCAAACCCTCTCATCTGCCCGTCCACACCAGGCAAACCGTCCATTCCAACACTCTGCCCTTCAATCCCCGCAATCTGCCCCTCAAGACCCGCTCTCATCCGAATGCCGCCACTCACTGCCCCCATGCTCCACTCCGGTCCAAGCGATACCGCCCGGGAGATTGTCCCGCCTCGCCACCGCTCCCGCTCTCTCTCCCTCTCTCTCTCGCGTAGGTGCTGGCTGGCAACCTCTCTGAGCCGTGCTATTTCTCGCTCCACCTCCTCCTCCCCTCTCACTGATGTCTCCTCTCCACCCACCAACGAACCTGCAGCTGCTGCTGTTGCTCCCGTTGCTCCTACTGCTCCTCCTCCTCCTCCCCCCTCCTCCTCCTCCGCCTGCTGCTGCTGCTCCTGCTGCTCCTGCTGCTTCTGCTTCTGCTCCTGCCCCACCCTCCCGTTCCTGCACTCCCAACATCCCCCCTCCTTCCCTACTCCCCCTCACCTCCACACGCTCCCCATGAGCCAAACTCACTCGAACCACAGGCGCCACTGCTTCCTCCTCCCCACTCCCCCCCACTCCCCCCACGCCCCCTCCTCTCCCTCTCCCTCCCCCTTCCACCAACCCGCCCTGCTTGGGAGACGGCATGGAGAGCGTTCGACCCACTCTCCCAATCCTAGAGCTACCAGCTCGCCCGCTCTCGCCTCCCCGCCGCCCTCTGCTGCTGCCCGAGCGGCTCCCGCTACCTGAATGCTGATCCACCGACCCGTTATAAGGCACCTCGTTAAGCAGCACTCCGCTTCCCCCGCGATTCAAGCCTGCTGCATGCTCGCTCCACTCACCACTCCTCCTCTGCTGCCCCTCCCCTCCTCTCTCTACTCCACTTCTCCCTCCTCCTGCACCCTCTGGTGGGATCCCCATACCTTGACTTAACAACGGCATCCCTTCACTCTCTCCCTCCTCTCTCTCATCTTCGCCTTCTACCCCCCTCCCCCTCCTCCCCTCCCCTCTCTCACCTCCCGGCCTCTCATCCTGCCGTTGAGCTCCTGTGAGGCGCAGAGCAGAAGTGGCAGCAGCGGCTGCAGCAGAAGCAACAAAGGCACTCAGTTGTCCAGCAAAGGTCCTTTCACCACCACCACTAGCAGCACCACTAGCACCACCACTAGCAGCACCAGTAGCAGCACCAATCGCACCACCAGCAACGCTGCTCTGCTGCTGCAACCGCCGCTCGAATTGGCCTCGCACGCGCGTTCTCCTTGACCCACCAGCACCGCTCCCCACCGCACCACCCGTCATCCCATCCCCCCCACTTCCCCCTCCTCCATCCGCCACATGTCCCAGGGCGGTGTTAGGGACGAGAGTGCTACCAGCTGTGCTGTTTGTAGCCCGAAATGTGGTGCCGGATGGAGAGGGGTTGGATGCGGTGGAAGGCGACAGCGAGGGCGGGAAGGAGGACGAGGAGGAGGTGGTGGAGAGGGAGGAGAGTGGGGGATGGCCGGGGCGAGTTGGCATGGAGGGATGAGAGTGTGGCGGGAGAGGGAGAGAGGGACCGGAGTGGAGTGAGGGACCTGAGTGGAGCGAGTGACCGGAGGGTAGAGGGCGAGTGGGAGTAAGAAGGCGAGGAGGAGGACGGAGAGGAGGAGGGGCGAAGGGCATGGGTGGAGGCCTGGCTTCGTAGATGAGTGCTGGTATGTCCTCGTCTCGCTCCATGGCTATGTCTAGTAGGAGCTTCAGCGGACCCACTGAGGAGCAAAGAGAGATAGCGGGGAAAAGAAAGAAGCACAAGATGGGGAGTGAGTGCATGATTGCTGGGATATCCTCGTCTCGCTCCATGGCTATGTCTAGTAGGAGCTTCAGCGGACCCACTGGGGGATGAGGACAAGGGGACAAAGGGAGGGGAGCAACAAAGGGGAAGGCTGAACCAAACCAGCTTCGTGGATGAGTGCTGGGATGCCCTCGTCCCGCTCCATGGCTCTGTCTAGGAGGAGCTTGAGGGGGCCCACTGGGGGACGAGAAGAGGGGGGAGGGAAGGGAAAACAGCACCGCAGATGAGTGCTGGGATGTCCTCGTCCCGCTCCATGGCTTTGTCTAGAAGCAGCTTGAGCGGGCCAACTAAAGTATGAAAGGAAGGGGAGAGGGAAGGGGAGAGGGAAGGGGAGAGGGAAGGGGAGAGGGAAGGGGAGAGGGGAGGGGAGAGGGAAGGGGAGAGGGAAGGGGAGAGGGAAGGGGAGAGGGAAGGGGAGAGGGAAGGGGAGAGGGAAGGGGAGAGGGAAGGGGAGAGGGAAGGGGAGAGGGAAGGGGAGAGGGAAGGGGAGAGGGAAGGGGAGAGGGAAGGGGAGAGGGAAGGGGAGAGGGAAGGGGAGAGGGAAGGGGAGAGGGAAGGGGAGAGGGAAGGGGAGAGGGAAGGGGAGAGGGAAGGGGAGAGGGAAGGGGAGAGGGAAGGGGAGAGGGAAGGTGAGAGGGAAGGGGAGAGGGAAGGGGAGAGGGAAGGGGAGAGGGAAGGGGAGAGGGAAGGGGAGAGGGAAGGGGAGGGGGAAGGGGAGAGGGAAGGGGAGAGGGAAGGGGAGAGGGAAGGGGAGAGGGAAGGGGAGAGGGAAGGGGAGAGGGAAGGGGAGAGGGAAGGGGAGAGGGAAGGGGAGAGGGAAGGGGAGAGGGAAGGGGAGAGGGAAGGGGAGAGGGAAGGGGAGAGGGAAGGTGAGAGGGAAGGGGAGAGGGAAGGGGAGAGGGAAGGGGAGAGGGAAGGGGAGAGGGAAGGGGAGAGGGAAGGGGAGGGGGAAGGGGAGAGGGAAGGGGAGAGGGAAGGGGAGAGGGAAGGGGAGAGGGAAGGGGAGAGGAAGGGGAGAGGGAAGGGGAGAGGGAAGGGGAGAGGGAAGGGGAGAGGGAAGGGGAGGGACCGAGGTTCGGGAATGGATAGAACAATGTAAGTAAACGAGTGCTAGGGTGTATGTCCACGTCTCGCTCCATGGCTATGCCTAGAAGAGGTAGGGTGGGGGTGGGGGGGGAAGAACAGGGTTCCGGGAGCGGAAACCGGCTTTGCAAATGAGAGCTGATACTTGGGGAGTTCTGAGACGTGTAGAAAAGAGTGAGTGCCTGGGGTGGGAGGTGCACGCATATACCTGGTGTGAGAACAGCATAGAGGTCGCAGAGTGACATGGCGATGAGCACCATCCACTTGCTTGCTCCACTCAGGCAGGCTGGAGAAGCAGACGGCGCTGGGGTTGGGGCTGTTAGAAATGGACTGTCAACACTTTGTGTACTATATTCTATATCTTGTAGGTTATTTGTAGGTTGGGTGTAGATTGTAATCCCAACCCTATCTGGTTGGGATTCCCTCGTAATCCCGCAAATATGCCAACTCACCATTGAAGATTTGCTAGGATTCCCATCCCATCATTTCCCTAGCTTTGCTCAACCCAACCTTGTTTGTACTTAAGGCCTAGTGCCTTCTCTACTAATTAATCAGTTCAAACTCCTTTTCTATCAGGGGCTGCCTGGGGTTGGAGAGGCACGAACCTGTAGGGTTCTGAGGCGTCTGTGGAGTCCTGGGACCAAACCTGGCGTGCGAACGGCGTAGAGATCGTAGTGAGACATGGCGATGAGCACCATCCACGTGGTCCACTCGGGCACGCTGGAGAACCAAAAGGCGACGATCGGCTTGCCTGGGGTAGGTCACATACCCAGGGAGTAGTGAGACGTCGAGAAAGAGTGTCTGAGATGGGAGAGGCGCGTACCTGGCGTGAGGACGGCATAGAGGTCGTAGAGTGACATGGCGATGAGCACCATCCACGTGGTCCATTCTGGTAGGCTGGAGAACCAGAAGGCGACGATGGCGCCGACGGCAACGAGGTAGGAGTGGGTGAGGAAGATGGGCATTCGGCAGAAGAAGACTGCCAGCACGCCCACCACTGACAGGTTGTAGAGGAGGAGAGAGAAGGTGATTATGTCTATTGGGATGGAGAAGCGCTGGTGGGGTCGGGGAAGCGGGAGGATGGGAGAGAGAGGATGGGAGTTGAGCCAGACACACAACTGGACGCTAACAAAGAGCAAGAACGATAGGAAGCAGGAGAGTAGGATGCGGACCACTAGCAGGAGAGTAGGATGCGGACCACTAGCAGATAGAGGCGTCTCACCTGAATGAGTTGCACTGCCAGTGTGCCGCCCAGTCCAGCAAATATGACAAAGCCAGAGAAGCCCATGTAGCCCCAGATGCAGCGCGCACACCCACAGTAGAACAGCCCCACCAGCACCGCCCCATGTAGCCCCACCCCACCAGCACAATCCTATGTAGCCCCACATGCACCGTGCGACACGCACACCCACATCACCAGTAATTGAAGGGGACGATCAGCAGCTTCTCTCACCTGAATGAGCTGCACTGCCAGTGTGCCGCCCAGCCCGGCAAAGATGACGAATCCCGAGAAGCCCATGTAGCCCCAGATGCAGCGTGCACACCCGCAGTAGAACAGCCCCACCAGCCCATACCCACCAGCACAAACCCATCCATGCAGCCCCACATGCAGCTTCTGACCTGAATGAGTTGCACCGCCAGAGTGCCGCCCAGCCCGGCAAAGATAACGAAGCCAGAGAAGCCCATGTAGCCCCAGATGCAGCGCGCACAGCCGCAGTAGAACAGCCCCACGAGCACGAACGTGGCTACTGTCACCAGCGCCACCATCGCCGCCGCATTCAGCAAGGCCCCCCACAGCCGCTGCCAGGGCGCATCCGTGCTGGTGTGGGGTTGGGGGGTGGGCGGACGGAGAGGAGGGGAGAACGAGAGAGAGAGCATGGGGTGACGTCGTGGGGGGAGGGGGGGGGGGAGTGCAAGAGGAGAGCAGGGGGGTGCCGGGGGGAGCTGGCCCACAGTAGTAGAACAGAACAGCCCCACGAGCACGAACGTGGCTGCTGTCACCAGCACCACCGTCGCTGCTGCGTTCAGCAGCGCGCCCCACAGCAGCTGCCAGGGCGCATCCGTGCTGGTAGGGGGGGAGGGGGAGAATGAGGGAGAAGAGAAGCGCGGGCGATTGGTTGTCATCATTGGACCCACCAGCCCCAGCAGCCCCACGCATTCGGCAGGGCTCCCCACAGGGTGGTGATAGGAGAGCCTGGGCGGGTTGGTTCGCAGTATTTTTGAGACGTCTAGAAAATACACTTTTATCACAGGGCTCCCCACAGGGTGGTGATAGGAGAGCCTGGGCGGGTTGGTTCGCAGTAGAACGGCCCCCCAGGCTCTCCTCTCCCCCCAGCCAGCAAGAACGTGGCTGCTGTCACCATCGCTGCTGCATTCAGCAGAGCACCCCACAGCCGCTGCCAGGGCGCATCCGTGGTGGTGGGGGAGGAGGAGGTGGGTGATGTGACGGAGAGAGGAGCGGATTGGGGTGATTGGTTCTCACCTGACTGACCGGCCCTACCAGCAGCACCATCCCCATGGGCCAGGGCCAGCACGCGCAGCAGCACACGGCGCGTGGCATTGTAACGAGGTGACTTTGGACTCGAGTCAAGAGAGTCACCTCATACCATCATAAGCAGCAGCTTGGAGGTTGAAGGGTTGAAGGGTTGAATTGAAGGCCAGCGCAGCGCCAGCACGCGCGCGCAGCACACGTCCCCTGCTTTCACAACAACGACGAATTCCCTCGTCGCGACATATTCTCCGCAAGCAACATGAGAAGAGACGCGTGTATGCTTTCTCTATAATGTTTCCCCAGTAATGGTTCCCTCTAAGGTTCCTCATAACGGTTCTACATGCGACGCGCGTACCTCTCTCTCTTCCTGATAAACGAGCGTCGCAATGGTAGGCGTCGTGACAGAGGCGCCGTGCGGGGTGAGTGCGAGCACGAGTGCGACGACGAGCAGCATGCAGATGGACACGGGCGTCACGATCGCCACTATCTCCTGAAGCGAGTTGACTTTTAAGTCGACTCAGGAGTCATATGCGTCAACTTAAAAGGCATGCAGACGGACGCGGGCGTCACGACACGACCACAAGTACAACATGAAGCAACGTGCGTACCTCTCTTCTTGGTACACCAGCGTCGCAATGGTAGGCGTTGTGACGGAGGCGCCGTGCGGAGTGAGCGCGAGCACGAGCGCGACGACGAGCAGCATGCAGATGGACACGGGCGTCACGATCGCCACTATCTCCTGCCCCAGCGTCTCCAGCAACCCGCCCTCCTCGCCGGACCTCTCGCCGAACCTCCCTCCGGACCTCTCGCCGGACCTCTCGCCGGGCCTCTCGCCGAGCCTCGCGGTTCCGCTATCTCTGTTGCCGTGAGCCGGAACGTAGTCGTGTCGCCTGACTTCTCGCCGTGCTTGCGAGAGAGGTGGACGATCCCTGGTGTCGCACGTGCGATCTCTGCTGTCGCATGGGCGGTCGCTGGCGTCGCCGGGAATTCGCGGGCCTGTCAGCGGCTCCGTCTCGAGCGACTCCTCCTCTTGGCGCGAAAGCAGCGACTGCGACGCGCATTCCGAATCGGAGATCTCAATCTCGTGACGTGGACTTCCCTGATTGGCCTCGGCAATCTCATGACGTGGATTAGAACGGGAGCGGCTCGCAGAGGATGAGGGGTCCGTCCCTGCAGACGACAATGTTGTTGCTGCTGCTGATGTCGATGCTGATGTTGCTATTCCCCTTCCTCCCCCTCCTTCTGCTCCTGCTCCTGCTCCTGCTAATGCTGCTGCTTGACTCGTCCTCGCTGCCTCGGGATCATCCGGCGGTGTTGACCCCCCCATCACAAAGGCTCTGTGCTGGCCTCTCTACCCCTCAGGAACAGCCAATCGACCGCTCGTCCTGTTCTGCGGGTTCATCCACGCTCTACAATCGCGCAGCCACGGGTCCTCGATATCCACGTGGCTCGCGGCGAAGAAGCTCTAGGCTATCTGGGATGCGTCTCCGGAAGAAAATAGACACTCCTAACAAGCTGGAGCCTACTAGGTCAACCTGCTATTCAGACTTAGGCCTCGGCCTACATGGCTGGAAATGACCAGACGACTTGGCGGAGATCCCTAGGTTTCAATTTGGAAGGGCAAATTTCAGGGCTGGGAGATGCCACAGGTCTGTGGCGGTGGCGAACGTCGAACTTCGGTTCGTTCACAGGGAGTACTCTTGCGAAATGCAAGCGTATGTTACAATAGGTTTTCTAATCTACAAGTTATGTTCCTATAGAAAAGTGCCACCGCATCCATGCAAATGTCTACAAGGATCCAATCCAAGCTTTTATTGTATGATACGACTTCCCGATGTACATCAACCTACAAATGCAGATGCAGCAGGCTCTACAAACCCTACAAATTCGTTCCCCTACCCAAGATAGGCGTATTTTCTGGACGCTCAACTTCATGTTAGCTTGGGAAGAACATAGCGGATGAAAAGGTAAATCGCTGGGGCTGTGAAGATGTAGCTATCTGTGCGGTCCAAAATGCCTCCATGTCCCGGAATGAGAGAGCCGGCATCTTTCACTCCGGCCTGGCGCTTGAGAGCCGACTCAAACAGATCACCAAAGAGAGACGCAGCGAAGACAATTACACCGAGCACCGCCGCACTGCAGAATGGGAGAAAGTGATTGTGAACATTGTGTTCCAAAAAGGGGAATGGGAGAGGGTGCAGGAGAGCTTGAGTGATCACGAAAAAAAGAAGACACATTGCAAAACGATTAGCACTTTAGCAGTATGCATTTGGCAAATTCAAATTGTGAACAGAAACCAACCATCCATGAGAAAGCGGGACAGCACCTGACAGGTGTGGCAGGCCAGCTGAAGGCACAGGAGAGGAGGACGGCAACAGAGACTAAAAAGTATAGTCTTGAGGCGCCTCAAAACTAGTGGCATACAATACAGGCATGACAGCACGAAGACAGCACCTGATAGGTGTGGAAGGCCAGCTGAAGGCACGGGAGAGGAGGACGGACACAGAGACTGAAGAGGCCAGCCCGAACAACGCCCCTTCAACCGTCTTCTTGGGGCTCAGCTCTGCCGAATTAGCAGTGACGGAGAAGTGGTGGGGTGGGGGGATACACATGGCACATGAGGGATGAGGGAGCACGAAGGACAGCAGGAGTGAGTGGCGATGGCTGACAAATGTGGGATGGTGGGATGTGGGATAGGCGGTACCATGTGCGATAAGACAAAAGCCAAGGCGGGGCCATGTGCAGATGCAGGGTGAAGATGAATGTGGGGTAACGAGGGAGATGAGAGCAGGGCGACAGGCGGACGACAGGTTCGCAATTTCTCTCACCAATGATGGAACGATGTTGAGGAAACCAACATTATTTGTGAGTCATTTGAAGCAATTGTTTCATCAGTCCAAAGACTGGCTTTACACCCACCCTCACTCACTCACAATCACACTCACACCCACCGATGAGAGGCGTCTTGCCAAAGGTCTTGCCGCCCAGATACGCCCCCGTGTCGGCAGCAATGACCCCCGCAAAGCCCATGAAGATGGCAACCAACCCTGTCGTCCACAGCGCCGGCCCTCCCAGCAGCGCAGGCCACACCCGCGCCACTGGCGACGACGTGGTGGCTGTAGTCGCCAGCCCACACCGCAGCTGGAATGGCGGGGGGAATGCCGGGGAAGAGAGGGGAGGGAGGCAAGAGTTAAGGGGGAGGGGCACGAGAGAGGAGGGCACAAGCCCTCCCAGCAGGGCGGGCCACACCCGCGCCACTGCGGACGACGTGGTGGCTGTAGTCGCCAGCCCACACCGCAGCTGGAATGGCGGGGGGAATGCCGGGGAAGAGAGGGGAGGGAGGCAAGAGGCACAAGAGAGGAGGGCACAAGCCCTCCCAGCAGGGCCGGCCACAGCCACGCCACTGGTGACAACGTCGTGGTTGTAGTCACCAGTCCACTCCACACAGCAGCTGGAATGGAAACGTGGTGAGGGAGGGAAGGGGAAAAGTGGGGAGAGGGAGGCAACATTCAAAGGGGGGGAGGTACAAACAAGCGAGAAGGGCACAACATAAGCCCTGCAATCCGCCGAGTGGGCCACAGCCGCGCCACTGGGACGTCGTTGTGACTGTAGTCGCCAGACTACACCATAGCTGGAATGGTGGGAGAAGGGGGAAAGTGGGGGAAGAGGGGGGAAGTGGGGAGAGGAAGGCAAGATATTAAGGGGGAAGGGTACAAACAAGCGAGGAGGGCACTACACAAGCCCCGCAACTCGCAGGACGGGCCACAGCCGCGCCACTGGCGACGCCGTCGTGGCTGTAGTCGCCAGTCCACACCGCAGCGAACTGGCTCCAGCGAGGGCGCCTGTGCTGAGTCAGCAGCATGGGTTTTGAGGCGCCTCAAAAGAAGTACGGTAATAGCTCACCGTGACCCAGAAGCTAGGAAGGAAGCCGCAGTAGAAAAGGCCGCAGATGTAGCCTGTGAACTGGCTCCAGCGAGGCCGCTTGGGCTGAGTCAGCAGCATGGCCAGCAGCAGCCCGCCCGCGAATTTCGCTCCCGGAGTCAAAAGCCCACCATTCACCCTGCCATGAAAGATGGGAGCGGAGGAACAAGAGAGCTGAGATAAACGACAGGTTTTGGCTGATAAGTTTCTTTGACATTTCAGAGGCAGTTCACGAGAATGGTCGCCAGGAGGCAAATCAGGAGCTCACCGAACCGTTGGACTTGCCAATCGCTGTTAACCAAGGGAAGGGAAGCTTCAACTTTTTTTTTTTCTGGATGCGTACTGGGACCAGTTTTCCGTATTCACGAATGATTATTTTCGTCAGAGACGAGTGTCTCGCGCATTCAAAAACCCAGAATCACGCGGAAGTAATGATACGCACATGGCAACTCATAGAGTAAGCAAATGATCACGTGCGGAGAGCACGCCGCGCCTGGTAAGCTTACGTGGTGTTGGTGGAAGAACCGTTCGTTCCCCAATCCCTTGCCACCGTAGCTTGAATCATAACAACGTAAAGATTGTAAACCCCTATGAACCCGACCCTTGACTCCCTTCCCCGCCCCATCGACACCCCCCTTTCCAAAACCTAAACGCTCAGAACCCCTCTCTCCAACCAATTTCCGATTCCTTCATATCTGTGACTCGTGCTTGTGCAACGCAGCCGGCAATTCAGCCCCGATATTCAAAAACAACTCCGCATCATTTTTCAGCCCTAAGTCACAACAAGCGGCTCGAGAGGTCTGTTTACCGTGTGAATTGCACAGCGATCGCAAGTGAAATTACGAAAATCTTACATGGCAATGAGCGGCATGATGGCGCAGCCGATGCAGCCAATGTAAACCGACAGCCGCGAAGGAACGGCCACGTTGTTCAGCTTGGCCCGGGCGTCAATCAGGTTAAAATACTCCGCAGTACCGAGCAGAACCACTCCCGTCAGAAGAACCGTGAACAGCCAGCTCCCCATCAACAGTCCGCCGAAAGCTAGCACTCCAGCCAGCGAGCCAAACTTCACCCGCCGCCAGAATTTTCCCTGAGCCACTTGCTCCTTCTGCTTCTGATCCTGCTGCTCCTGCTGCTGCGGTTGTGGTTGCAACTGCTCCTGCTGCGTTTGCGCTTGGGATGGAGCAGCACTGTCAGACGCAGTTGAAGAATTGCCTGTGTCGGACGAAGCCCCCCCGATGCTGCTGCTGGAGGCACTCTGATCAGAGAATTGCGACCTGAAATTAAGCTGCGAAGAGCTGATTCTGCCAGATTCCCCGTGCGCGTCTGAGGCAGAAGTTACATCTCGCAGCGATCGCCTTTTCAGAGTACTAGTGGATGTGTTTGTGTCCATCTGCCTAAGCGTCAATCTGTGTAAGCTTCCCAATGTTGCTGATTCGCTTGTGAGGTGGTGGTAACGCGAGGAACATACTGAACTGGAAGAAGAATTGTTGCGTTTATTCACGCATGCTAGTGGACGAACCGATGAAAAGTATTTAACGTAATTAGATTCAACATGGCTATCACAAAACGTTGCGTTCCCGCTAACATGAAAGAGAGGTGTTCCGAGGATTGATCGACATAACCCTAAGCCCGTCGGCATGTTGTTTGTCACTTGCTCTGGTCTTGTATTTCCCGAATGAAGGAGTTACGAAAGGGCTATTTCTTGACTACGAAAGGGCTATATCTCGACCAGTGAATAACATGAGCTCAGCCACCAAGTGAAGATGAAGTCCGATCCAAATACACAACCATGCAAAAAAAGGCTCTAGAAGGCCGTGTAACTTGGTTGATTCACAAACACCAATGAGCCTGGATGTGACTGCAGAGCAAAGCTCCAACCACATCAGAAATAGGCGGGTGTGAAGCTGAAGGGGGGTTTTGCAGCTTGCTGGTTGGTGGATCAGTCTCACGACGAATGGAGAGGCACTACGACAGAGGAGATGGGCGTGTTTACTCGTAGAAGTTGGGCTCTGGGTAACCATGTGTTCCATCTTGGATGGGAGGGGACCACTCATATATCTCGTTCCTATCCAATTTCGTATGACTGACGTGGATAGGTTCAACCTGGGGCTTGGTGGGTTGTCGATTTGGCAAAGCTGTGTCATCGCAACGTCACACTGGGCGAAAAGGTAGTTGCATATTTTTTGTCACCTGAGCTTCGCTGGATGCAGCCCATCCACATTTCTTATGCAGACTTTCTTTTTAGGATTTAACTTTGCAGAATATCTTTAGCGCGGCATTTTGAGGTGCGTGTTATAGCGGGAGATGCTGACGTGTGAACTTTTGGGAGATCGCAACTCAACTGCCACCGCGTCTGACAGATGTGGTTGGCGCGAACGGCCAAAAGGAGCGCCGATGTCAGCCATTCCCACGGTGGACAATTGTGTGCTGCAAAGTGGTAGACGTTGCCACATAAGCAGAAAACCTCCCACCTCAGAACGATCGGCGCTACCAGAGATTGCCACATAAGAGTACTTTTCGATCACACATGGGAGGACCTGCTTAGTTGGCGCTGTAGACTGGATAACGGCCAGCTCGAACCTATCCACCAACAACCACACGAACCCTGATCGTGGCACAGAACTCTCGTCCTTCGCTAGCCTTCACGGAACCAGGTATAACACCCAGAGATCTCATTGTTTCAACAATCAGCTTTCACACCAAGTTCTTCATCTCCTTTTCCTCCCAGAAAAGGAAAATGGCTTCCATCACTTCGTCTGCCGTTGTTGCCCCAGTTGCCTTCAAGGCAACTGTGGAGGCCTCCGCTGCCTCCTCTGAGTCCGTGTCCTTCTCCGGCCTGAAGGCTGGTGTCGCCACCCCCAATGGCTTCGCCGCCAAGACTGTCTCCAACGGCAGCCGTGTGTCGTGCATGAAGGTCAGTGCTTCAATCCCATTCCCCAGTATATGTCGAGTGATCGGTTAAGTTGGTTCACTTTACGCGTTGTTTTGGTATCATTGGATGTAGTGCTCACATGGTTTTCGAAATGTGCAGGTGTGGAACCCCATTGGCAACCCCCGGTTCGAGACCCTGTCCTACCTTCCCGCTCTCACCGACGACATGATCGTCAAGGAGATCCGGTACATGCTCAAGAACAACTGGGTCCCCGCTATTGAGTTCGACGCCAGCGGTGTTGTGTACAGGGAAAACAACAGCGGCCCCGGCTACTATGATGGCCGCTACTGGACGATGTGGAAGCTGCCCCTCTTCGGCTGCACTGACGCGTCCCAGGTGCTCAGGGAGATCAACGAGTGCAAGTCTTCCTACCCTGGTTGCTTCATCCGTGTTCTTGGCTTCGACAACGTGAAGCAGGTCCAGTGCATGTCCTTCATTGTGCACAAGCCCTAAACGGCTGCAATTATTTGTCGACGTAGCTTATTAATATAAATACTTCTCAGCTTCGTTACGACTACGCACCTGAAAAGGCTGATCTTGGAAAATGTCGGGCCAACCCTCGCGTGGCAAAAATCCTTTCTAGTTCTTAACGGATCACGATCGCTAACCCTCGGGTGGCAAAAATTCCGATTTGTTTGGACTTACACCATGTTCAGACGGCAACATAGGTTGAGTTGACTGCATGCTACCTTTATTCGTCTGAATTTCCAGGCCTACAGTCTTACTCCAACGCGTGGAGACGGTAAATTAACTACCGCATGGAAAGGTCTTGGTTCTTACCGGGAGAGGGTTTGTCATGGTAGGTTAACTACCGCATCTTTTCAGACTGTGTACCGTCAGGTACGTTAACTACCGCATGTGACTATTGTGTGTTCGTTTGGACATCACTTGTTGACCCGTGTTCTAGTAGAAAACCAAACGTGGCTCACCATCCAAGGTAGCAAAACACTCATTTTCACACATGCCATCTTCTACACTGTCTATTAGTCCTCTGCTACTGTTGTCCCATTTGTTTTCAAAGAAGCCTGGAGGCCTCTGCTACGTCCTCTAGCTCCGTGTCCGTCTCCGGACCGAAAAATGACGCCATTTTTCCTAATGGCTTCGTCACGTCAACATAATAGTCTCCAACTACAGCCGGGTTCCTGCATAACTACTTTTGTTGAACATTCATAACATACAATTAGAGAATCTTGTTTTTTTTCATCTACCAGCAATTACATAAACCATCTGGAGTAGGCAATGTCTTTGTCCAATTTCAACATCAAGCTCAGTGACCTGATGGAATCAAGTTTAAAGCTACCGGTAGGTAGGAACAGCACAACATTGGTAAGCACGCGTGATGGGCATGTTGGAAAACGAAAGCCGTTTGAAATGAGGGACGCGGTAGGTGTAGGGAAATGACATTGAGCCCACTAAACTCATGTTGTGGCTTAATACTCCACAACAGGAGTTTAGTGCGGTTCGACGATGAAAATATATACGGTACAAAAAGCTAAGCGATTAAAACATTTAGTTTTTCACTCATTGCAGACCTGATGGTTAGCCGAGCCGTAGTTACAGTTTTGTTACCATGGGTCAATGTGCCACCCTGTTTCAACACCACCTGGGGCAGGTGGTCACCCTCAACAAACCACCTGGACCCCAACGGACGAGCCACTCACATCAACTGTAACGGGATGCAACGCCCCGTTCCGGGTAACGCACCCAACTTTCAATCAAACGTGGCATCACGCCGACAATACCGCGGGCAGGCACACCCCTGCCTTTTGGGATACCACATCACCAACCAAAGCAGACCAGCCTGGCAGAGATCATCGCGACGAGCCTGATTCCCAAGCTCTCAGATAAAGTTGGTTGAGTCCGAGCCTATTTCTTCACGAATCGGAACTCTCACGCCACGGGTTACAGTTTGGTGAAGCCCCGCACCTCGGATCTCAACAACCAGAAATGCCGAGCCTGTGGATCATTGCCACATAATAATCAGGCAAGAGCTATCGCTGATGCATTCCGCATTTCTCTGAGCTTTTGGAAATCACATTTCTGAAGCCCTCTTCAAGGCACTCTCCTCCAAGATACAAGGGCACATTCTTGCTTTGCAGTGACATTTCAGTCTCTCTGGTCAAATCTCCAGTTCCTGATTTCCGAATTTCCGAGTTTCCAGCAATGGCTTCCGAAGGCCCTGTTAAGAAAGCCTTTATCACCGGTATCACTGGCCAAGATGGGTCCTACCTGACAGAGTTTCTTCTGTCCAAGGGCTACGAAGTCCACGGTATCATCCGTCGTTCCTCTAACTTCAACACCCAGCGTCTGGACCACATCTACCGCGATCCTCACGTCTCTTCTGCCAAGCTGAGACTCCACTACGGTGATCTGTCCGATGCTACCGCTCTCCGTCACTGGATTGACCAGATCAAGCCTGATGAGGTTTTCAACCTCGGTGCTCAGTCCCACGTCGGCGTTTCTTTCGAGAACCCTGAGTACACCGCCGATGTCGTCGGCACGGGAGCTCTTCGCCTCCTCGAGGCTGTTCGCAACCACATTGAGAACTCCGGACGCTCCGTGAAGTACTACCAGGCCGGATCTTCCGAAATGTTTGGAGCTACACCGCCTCCTCAAGACGAGAATACTCTCTTCCATCCTCGCTCGCCGTACGCTGTCTCCAAGGTCGCTGCTCACTGGTACACGGTGAACTACCGCGAGGCTTACGGCATGTTCGCGTGCAACGGCATTCTCTTCAACCACGAGAGCCCGAGGCGTGGTGAGAACTTCGTGACGAGGAAGATCACCCGCGCTGTCGGTCGCATCAAGGTTGGCCTTCAAAAGAAGGTGTACCTCGGCAACCTCAAGGCTTCTCGTGATTGGGGCTTCGCCGGTGACTACATCAAGGTACGGAGTTTGATATTGTGCTACATAAACTGGATGTCACAGATGCTGGTTTTAATTGTCATCAAAATTCCAGTTCAGTCGTGTTTCCCGCTCCGTCTCTCTCCTCGACCCTCCCGCAATCCCGTCTCGCTTCGTCCCTCCTGCACTCCCGTCTCGCTCCTCACTCATAATCCAATCATCGCAAAGGAAACATTTGGCAAACTCAAGCAACAAAGGAACAAAATGCCATATTTCTAACGACCACAAGTCCTTCCGATTTGTCTCTACAGGGCATGTGGCTGATGCTGCAGCAGGAGCAGGCTGACGACTACGTGCTGGCAACGGAAGAGTCGTTCACCGTCGAGCAATTCCTCATCGAGGCCTTCGGCTACGTCGGCCTGGACTGGAAGGAGCACGTCGAGATTGACCCGCGCTATTTCCGCCCGTCCGAGGTGGACAACCTCCGCGGATCCTCGGCCAAGGCGCGGGAAAAGCTTGGATGGAAGCCCGAGGTGACGTTCAAGCAGCTGGTGGCGATGATGGTGGACTCGGATCTGGATAAGGCCAAGCGGGAGCAGGTGCTTGTAGAGAACGGCTTCTTGGATAGCAACTTCCAGCCCTAGGTCCCTAAGGTTTCGTGGTTTCTCCTGCAGTCTCATACGTCCTGGTCCTTGGGCACTTACGAACCCGTTGGTTGGGTGGTCTTTGTAGAGAGTCTCGGGTGATTATCTTATCCAGGCAATTGTAAGGTTTGCCTGGTAGCAAGCAACTCTGTATTTACTGACAAAGTTTTCATCATGGCAAATGTATTTTTTACTTCTCCAGCCGTTTCTTCAACTTCCATAGGGTGCGTGAGTGGTAGAAAGGGGCTCTAACTGCTAGGGTGGGTGAGTGGGAGTGAAGGGGGCTGAAACCCCTGGGATGGGTGAGTGGGATGGAAGGGGCCTGAAGCCTTAGGGGAAGGGGGCTGAAGCCTGGGTGTGAGGGGCTGAAATTCCCATCGAGGAGAATGGGGCTGAAACCCTTAGGGTGTTGTGTGGTTCAGGCGATCCTGCTCTTTGCTGCTGCGGTATGTACCGGTCGTTGAAATCACCCACTTGACAACCATGAAGCACATTCACGGAGGTTTAAAACTTATGATTCAGACAAATATCGCATCATCCCCACATGTATGCTGGGTACGCCTCCATCTCCTTGGCCACTGTAAGGGACAGCTCCTCAGCCGTTTCATCCTGCCCTCCTGCAAAATTGTATGCTCTGAATGCGAACTGGAAGCAGCGCCAGAGGAGAAACAGGCCTGCCTTGACCCGAGGCACATCATACACGGGAATGCGCCCATCCACCAGCTCCACTGATGCTCTCAGCTTCATGCTCTCCTGCTCTCACAAAACAGCAGAGAGAAGGGGTTCAGGGTTTCATTGATGTGAGGCACATCGTATGCGGGAATGCTCCCATGCACCAGCTCCACTGATGCTCTCGGCTTCATGCTCTCCTGCACACACAAGGCAGTACAGTGGTAAGGGGTTTAGGGTTTAGGTTTTAGACATTTAGGCAACAATTACGTTCCAGCAATCAGCAACAGAAGCTGCATAGAGAAGCACTTCACCCTTTCAATGGCACCACCGCTGTACGGCAGCCTCTTTGCTGCGCCACACCAGAACCGCTCACCTGAGCTGAGAGCTCCAAGAGGCGGGAGGAGAGGCGCACTGCCGCCGCCTTCACCCTCTCGATGGCGCCACCGCTGTATGGCAGCCGCTGCGCTGCAAACTTCTTAGCGTCCTCCTCCCTGCTCCTCTCCACTGCCTCCACCTCCCTGCGCACGCGGTCAAACAGCCGCTCGCACCGATCCAGACACACTCCCACCGCCGCCACTGACGCCGGGGCTGCCACCGCCGCTGCAGCACCAGCACCAGCTGCTGCCCCTCCGTTGCCCATGGGCAACGCAGAATGAAGGTCGTGGGAGAGGGCGGAGAGGCGCAAGTGCAGCGATGCCGACGCACGCAGCAACTCCAGCTTGCTGCTGGGGAAGCCCTCAAATCGTTGTAGCACCTGAGGGAGAGGGAGGGGGGAGGTGGGACGTGGGACGTGGGATGTGTTTTACTTCTGACTGGCTCTAGCAGTGTCAGCAGCACCAGCAGCTCCAGCTTGCTGCTGGGGAAGCCCTCAAAGCGCTGCAGCACCTGAGGGTGGGGGCAGGAGGTGGAAGGTGAGACGTGCTTTACTCCTGCCTAACTCTAGTGTAACGTCTAGCTTGCTCCTGATGTTGCAGGTTGTTTTTGAGAATTCTCAAAAACAACCTACTCCTGCCTGACTCTAGTGTAACGTCCGGAAGCCTTTATAACGCTACAGCACCTGGGAGAGGGGGAAGCAGGAGGTGGGAGTCAGAAAAACGGGAAATAAAGACACCTGCAAGAGGAAGGAGGACGAAATTGAAAAAGTCCGCAGAAGTGAAAAAGCGCGACAACAATTGAATAATCGTGGCACCTGCAGGTTGTTGGTTACTTGGCTACTCAGCCACTTAATTACTGGTCCACCGATTTACTGATTTACTCGGTTCTTCCTACTGGTACATTGATCTACTCGATGAATTTCTCGGTTACTCAGTTATCCAGTTACCTGACTCCATAGGATTCACTCGGTTACCTGAGTCTTGTCAGTCAAGTCTTGAAGAAGCGACGCTATCTTGGCTCGAAGCGCCACCAGCTCGGCATTTACAATCACTGACTCCTTATGGCTACCACCGCCACCACCGCCGTTGCCAATTTCTCGGATTTTCAAGCACAAAGTCACTCGACTACTTACATACCCCCTTGCTCGAGCAACAACGCATGGGTCTCCTCAGTTACCTGGCTCTGAAGGGTTACCCGGTTACCTGAGTCTCATCAGTCAAGTCTTGCAGAAGCGACTCTATCTTGGCCTGAAACGCCACCAGCTCGTCGAAATCGGTGGTCTGGAGGAAGGCCGTCAGCTCAGCCTTTGCCTGTTTTGAGTCAACTCCGAACTTGCTTACCTGAGTCCATTGGGAATTACCTGAGTCTCGTCAGTCAAGTCTTGCAGAAGCGACTCTATCTTGGCTCGAAATGAAACCAGCTCATCGAAATCGGAGGTCTGGAAGGCCTCCAGGTCGGCTTTTGCCTGCCAGATGGCGTCTGCATGCTTCACCACGTCAGCCTCTATCTGCTGGAAATATGCTGAGCTGGAGGATTGAGAACGAGGGCCAAATGCACGAAGGGGTTTGAACGAGAGCGAGTGAGGGAGAGGTTTGACGTTTAGGGCAGGTGGACAGGACAGGGCAGCCCTGTGTCCCCTGTATACAGTGGCCACTGACTTTTGAGTCGACTGAAAAGGTGGACAGGACAACCCTGTGTGTCCCCTGTACACAGTAAGTAGCCACTGTATGCAGAGGACAGGTGGAGAGAGCAATGGAAAACACGGTCAGACTGAATGCAAGATATGACCAAAAACCTGATTGGACAGAAGTCACGAACCCACGGAAGAGTTCTGAGACGTCTCACACACGCACTCACAGACGAGTAAGAAAGCATGCGGTGCAGCAGAGCAGGAAAGCAATGAAGCAAGAAAGCATGCAGTGCAGCAGAGCAGGAAAGCAATGAAGCAAGAAAGCATGCAGTGCAGCAGAGCAGGAAAGCAATGAAGCAAGAAAGCATGCAGTGCAGCAGAGCAACTCACTAGTGATGGATTTCTGTCAATGCCAGAGCAATCGACACCCCGCCCCCTCCCTGCCGACTTTTTGAGTCGACTCAAGAGACATACACAGACGGAGAAGAGCAAGAAAGCAAGAAACAGAGCAGAGCATAGCAGAGCAGAGCAGAGCAACTCACTTCTGATGTATTTCTGCCAATGCGAGTGCGATCGACACCCGCCCCCCTCCCTGCGGCCTCCCTCTCATGCGCCCCGCCCCATCTCCTGCAACCCCTCCCCCTCCCCTCCCCTCTCCTCCCCCCACTCCCACACCTCCCCCTCCCCCTCCACCTCCCCCTCCCCGGCCGTCCCCCAATGCCTGTGCGCCCACAATAGCTTGCTCCACCCGACTCTTGAGCCCGCGATACAGATGCCCCATTCGGTTCGACCGCCGCAACCCCCCTTCCCCAACTCCTCCACCGCTGCCCCCTGCCCTCCCCCCTGCGCCTGCCTCCCCCTCCCCCCTTTGCCTTGCCCCTGCAGGCGTCCCTGGGTGGGACCGCTGGGGAGAAGGGGAAGGGGGAGGAGGGGGGCGCGGGGGAGGCGGGGGAGTGGGGAACCGAGGCTCTCCGAACGTGTGGGAGAGGTCCGGGAGGGAAAAAGAGGCTGGGATGTGGGAGGAGGGGAGGGAGGGAGGAGGTGGGGGACGGCGAGGGGGAGGAGGCGGAGGAGCAGGAGGAGGGGGACGGGGAGGCACAGCGGTAGCTGTAGAAGAAGCTGCAGCAGCAGAACAAGAGTTCTGAGCTTTCCCTGCTGCTGCTCCTGCTCCTGCCCTTTCCTCCTCCTTCTCTTGCTCCTCTAGCTCCTTCTTGGAAGCTTCTGCTGCTGCCACTGCTGCCAGAACAGCTGATCGCGCCCCTCCCTTTCCCCCTGGCCTGGACGTTGCTTGTGTGGGAGGAGGGGGGGCTTTAAGGGAAGGAGGCGGAGGAGGGGGAGGAGGCATGCCTGCTCCTGCTCCTGCTCCTCTCCCCGTCCCTCTTCCTCCTCCTGGTCCTGCTGCTCCTGCTGCTGATGTTGCTGCTTGCGAAGTTGGTGGGGGAGCAGGGGGCAGGGAAGAGAGGAGGGAGGAAGGAGAGGAAGCAGAGAGGGCGAGGTGACCCTGCTTGCCCCATCCCGTCCCTCCTGCTGCTGGTGCTATTGCTCCTGCTGCTGCTGCTGCTGCTGCTGCTGCTGAAACTCTGGCTGCTCTGCTAGTGCTGCTGCCACCCCTGATGCCAGCACCACCAGCACAGGAGGCAGCAGCAGTAGCTGCAGGCGCAGCACAGGAGGCAGCAGCAACGAGAGCAGCAGCAGCAGCAGCATCAGGTCTAGGAGGGATCACAGCACCAGGAGCACCAGCAGCAATGGCAGCAGCAGCGTCGAAACGAGCACTAGCAGCAGCAGCAACCGCAGCGGCAGACACACTCCCAGCCGCCTTCCTTGCTGCTGCCACTGCTGCACTTGCTGTTTCTCCCTTTCTCACTCCTCTCACTACCCCTCCCCCACTCCCCAGTACCCCCATACCGTCCCTCACTCCTCCCCTGCCCCATTCACTGTGCCCTGGTCTCACATTACCTCCTACTCCCACTCGTAAAGACTCATCCTCGTTAGAAGAATGATGGGTTAAAGAAACAACATCGGCCAGTGACATGGAAGCAGAGGGGGAGCTTAGGCTGCGTGTAACGAGAGCAGCACTAGGGGCCGGTTTACCAGCAACAATAATGGCAGCTGATCTCGCAGCAACAGTGGTAGCAGTAGCTGACTTTGCAGCCCAGGACACGGAAAAGACAGGTGGGGGGGGAGTTAAGGGGCCGGGTCGTGCAGATTTGGGTGATGGGAGGGTTAATGGAGGAGGGAAGAACGCAGGAGGGTGGAAAGTCGGGGGTGAGGGAGGGGAGGGAGGAGAGGGAGAAGATGGAGGAGAAGGAAGGGCAATAACAGCACCAGCAGCAGCAGCAGCAGCAGAACGAGCACCAGCACCACCACCACCACCGCCAGCAGAAATAGGAGGAGGAGGAGGAGTGGCAGAGGAAGTGGAAGCAGCAGCAGCGACAGTGGCTTGGAGAAGCGAAGCAGTGTGAGGGGTGGGCGGGCGGACGAAGCTCGGAGGCTCAAACGAATCTGCCCACCCTTCTTCCATCTCCTCATCCCCCCATCCACCCTCCCACTCCCTCTCTCTCATCTCTCCTCCTCTTCTTCTTCTTCCTCCTCCTCCTCCCCATCCACCCCCCCACCCTCCTCCTCCTCCCCTTCTCCTCTCTGCTACCCCATCTCGCCCCCGTTCGGCTCCTACTGCTGCTGCGCCTCCTGCTCCTCCTGCCATGCCTCGGCTGGTTGGGAAGCTGGCTTCCGAGCCTGAGGCCGAGGCTGGCGCAGGCTGGGCCGAGGCTGGGGCGGAGGCTTGGGAGGTGAGGGAGCGGGCGGCCTGCTGTTGAAATAGGTCCATCTTGCGAAGAATGCGCCGACCTGAGGGTGAGGGTGGTGGGCATGTGGTCGGGAAGGGGTTCTGACTTAGGAAAAAAAATCATGCGGGTGGGGGCACAAGGGATGGTGGCACGAGGGGTGGAGGTATGAGAGGTGGAGGCATGAGGATGGGGTACCAACCACTATCCAGAGCTGATGTGGAGTCAAACCAGGAATATCTATTCTTGGTGATATGAGTGTATTTTGGGGACGTCTCAAAAACACTCATACTTTTGAGACGTCTCAAAAACACGCTCATTTCTGAGACGTCTAGAAAACACAGTCATTTTTTAGACGTCTCAAAACACACTCATTTCACGTGGCTATCCAGAGCTCATGTGGAATATTTATGCTTGAAGGGCTTACTGATCACTCAGCTGTGACTAAATTGTCATATGGGAACAGTTTTGTTTGTCAACCTGCTTTACCAAAGAAGTCTGTTTCTAAAGACTTCATCACCCACCCAGCGAGTCGACTCAATAGCCACCTCTGTGACTCTGTTCCGTGACACCTTACAACTCACTCAGTGACTCGAGTGTGAGCGGCCCATCCTCTGATGATGGCGTTACCCCTCCTCCTCCTTTTCCTCCTCCACTGCCTCCCCCTGACAACACCAGCACATCAGCCTCTCCGTCTCTCCCTGCCCTCCTATACTCCCCCCGCGTACCCTTGTAGCTGCTGCTACTGGCCCGGTTGCTGCTGTGACTACTGCTGCTGCTGCTGTTACTCTGCCGAACTGACCTCTTTGAATTCTCAACAGTACCTGCCCCAGCACCGCTGCTCTTCAACCAGCCATGGCCTCTATCACTAACGCCGTCCCTGTTGCTTCGGTTGGAGCGCTGAGAGCGTGGCGTGTGAGGGGGGGTGGTCGAGCGGAGGAGATTAGATGCGGAGCGAGAGGAGGAGAGGAGGGACGTGGAGGAGTGAGTGAGGGGGCGGACGGAAGGGGAGAGGGGGCGGACGGAGGGGGAGAGGGGGTGGCGGAAAGAAGGGGGAGAGAGGGGGCGGGGAAAAGGGCCCCGCGAGCCAGCAACGGAAAGACTCTGCCCACTGTCCTTTTTTCGGGGCGAGGCAGAGAGGGCAGCAGAGCGGTGGTGAGCCCATGCGCTTTCCATGCGGCACAGCGTGCTATAGAATGCCTCTAGACGCTCGCCCATGGGCTGCTGCTGCTGTTGCTGGAGACCCATGGGATTGTGGTGCTGCTTCTGCTTCTTCTGCTGCTTCTGCTGCACAGAGTGCGGCAGTGCTGCCCCCTTGTGTGCCTGCAGCTTCTGGTTAGGATCGTGTGAGTGTGCGTTGGGAAGGGCCTCCATTGTGCTCTCCAGAATCTGACAGTTGATCGGCAAAAGAGAAGGGAAGGGGCGGGGGGACTTTTGAGCTGACTCAAGAGTGCGGCAGTGCTGTCCCCGTGCGTGGCTGCAGCTTCTGGTTTGGATCGTGCGAGTGTGCGTTGGGAAGAGCCTCCATTGTGCTCTCTAGAATCTGGATTTGGAGCAGCGGGGGGGGCATCAAGTAGGGTGGGAGAGGGGGAGAGTGCAGAGGGAAGGGAACTAGTGATTGAGTGTGCGTTGGAAGAGCCTCCATTGTGCTCTCTAGAATCTGGAATCCGATCAAGGCGGAGGGAAAGCGGGGGGAGAGAGGGGAGGATGGCCACATGGAATCACTTTGTCTTGTCGTTCCTCGCATCCTAGGAGTCTCAACACTCTTGTAAGCCCGTTCGCTATAGTAACACCCACGTAACAGCACCAATCCCTACACTCACACAAAAATATCAACACCCACCCTCCCCAGTTCAACCCCCATGGCTCACGTCCTGCATGTCAGCGTCGCTCCCTGGTGGTGGCAGGTGCAGCGACGAGTGCAAATCAGCACCCAATGATCACACAGACGCCAAACACATCAGCACCCACACCAACCCGATCCCAAGGGACTCACGTCCTGCATGTCAGCGTCGCTCCCTGGTGGTGGCAGGTGCAGCGACGAGTGCAAATCAGCACCCAATGATCACACAGACGCCAAACACATCAGCACCCACACCAACCCGATCCCAAGGGACTCACGTCCTGCATGTCAGCGTCGCTCCCTGGTGGTGGCAGGTGCAGCGACGAGTGCAAATCAGCACCCAATGATCACACAGACGCCAAACACATCAGCACCCACACCAACCCGATCCCAAGGGACTCACGTCCTGCATGTCAGCGTCGCTCCCTGGCGGTGGCAGGTGCAGCGAGGAGCGCAGGCAGATGAGACGGCTCCTCAGCTCCGCCAGCACCACCAAACCGCCCAGCCACCCCTTCCCCTCCCCCCTTTGCTGCAGTTGAGGAACGGGGGAAGACAGAAAGACAGAGAGAAGACTTTCGAGGCATGTCAAACGGCAGGTGCAGCGAGGAGCGCAGGCAGATGAGACAGCTCTTCAGCTCCTCCAGCACCACCAGCCCGCCCAGCCACCCCTTCCCCTCCCCCCTTTGCTGCACCGGACCGGAGGAACAGGAGAGGGCAGAGGGAGGACAGAGGGAGGAGAGAGGGAGGACAGAGGGAGGAGAGAGGGAGGACAGAGAGGACTTTTGAGGCGTGCCTAAGGGCAGGTGCAGATGAGTTTCCTCCTCAGCTCTGCCAGAACCACCAGCCCGCCCAGCCACCCCTTCCCCTCCTCCCTTTGCTCACCGGAGGGATACGGGAGGAAGGAGGGAGAGAAGTGGCAGGAAGGAAGGAGGAAAATGGGAGGAAAGGGAAAGGTGGCACAAGGAGGGCAGGAGATCCAGATGGGCGGGTGAAAGAGGATGGCATCTAGCTCCCCCCTTTGCCGGCGAGCATGCACGTACATCCATGCATGCACATATATCCATGCGTGCACATACATCCATGCATGCACATACATCCATGCATGCACATACATCCATGCACGCACATACATCCATGCATGCACATACATCCATGTATGCACATACATCCTTGCGTGCACATACATCCATGTATGCACATACATCCATGCATGCACATACATCCATGCATGCACATACATCCATGCATGCACATACATCCATGTATGCACATACATCCATGCATGCACATACATCCATGTATGCACATACATCCATGTATGCACATACATCCATGCATGCACATACATCCATGCATGCACATACATCCATGCATGCACATACATCCATGTATGCACATACATCCATGCATGCACATACATCCATGTATGCACATACATCCATGCATGCACATACATCCATGCATGCACATACATCCATGCATGCACATACATCCATGCATGCACATACATCCATGTATGCACATACATCCTTGCGTGCACATGCATCCATGTATGCACACGCAGCAGGCATGAAGCAGCACTCACCGATTTCAGTTGGTGCAGGTGGGAGAGGTTGACGTCCAGCCTCTCTTGCAGTGGCAGGGCGTGGGGAGCCACAAGGCACTCTGCATCGGGCCCCAGCAGCTCGTACAGCTGTTGCTCTGCTTCCCTCACGCCCTCCTCCAGCTCTGTGCGCTACTGCACTGCTTCTCGCACTGCTTGTGATGGGAGTGATAGGGGAAGATTTTGGCAGGGATAGATGGGGGAGGTTGCAAGGAAAGAGCGTGGGGGGCCACGAGGCACTCTGCATCGGGCCCCAGCCCAGCAGGCCGTACAGTTGTTGCTCCGCTTCCCTCACACACTCCTCGAGTTCTGTACGCTGCTGCACTGCCTCCCGCACTGCCTGCCATGGGAGAGAGGAGTTGGAGGGTGGTTGAAGAGAAAGGGAGTGGGGTCAGGCACTCTGCGTCAGGCCCCAACAGCTCGTACAGCTGCTTCTCTGCCTGCCTCACTCCCTCCTCCAGTTCCGTACGCTGCTCCACTGCCTCCTGCACTGCCTGCCATGGGAGAGAGAAAATAAGGTTTTGCATCTCATGGCATGGCGTGGCATGGCACGGCACGGCAAGCGACAACAGGAAATGACACTGTGAACACAAATCCTACGATCGCTGCCAACTACTTTCTTTCTTTATAACGCTTCTTTTGTTGACTCACTTCGGAAGCACACAAGCCATCTCAACTGTAGTGCTTCTTTAGAATCGTCCCAACACATGGGCTGCTACAACTGTCATAGCACACCAACAGTCCACGTCATCACCTTCTCGTAGGCCTTATCCACAGCATCTGCAACGGCCAATCGCAGGTCGTCTGAGCGAATCAGCTTATCCTCTCCTATTTCCTGAATGACACAGAGAGGAGAATCAAAGAGCCAACGCATGAAGGGAGGGGGAAAAAGAGAGAGAAGGGGTTGGTAGGAACACAGGGAAACAGATCAGAGGGAGATCTGCACGCGTCCTGCTGCTGTGAACGACAACGAAAAATGGCGCGAAGCCACGGACAGGGAATTAAAGGCACTAGAGGAACGCAACACTTGGAAAGTCGTTCCCATCAGTGTGGCGCAGAACAAAACGATTCTCACCGGAATGGGGTAGACAGTATGGGGTAGTGGGGTAGACAGTATGGGGTACAGCTTTCTAGGGTTTCATATTTGTACCCAACTCATTTCCTAGTTCATCCATTCCTCATTTCTTCTCATGGTATAGAGCAGGATCCCTAGTGGGAACTGTTCCTAGGGCCCACCACTGAAAATCGATTAATTTTATTTTTTCTGCCCGGAGAGCGAGTCGCTCCTGACCGAGGCGCGCCCTGTGTGCCGTCCTCCCCTTAGCGGCCCGTCGCGCCCTCTCACGGCCCCTCTCGCGGCCCCGTCGCCGCCCTTAGCGGCCCCTCGCGGCCCCACCCTACACGGCCCCGTCGCCGCCCTCTCGCGGCCCCGTCGCCGCCCTCTCGCGGCCCCGTCGCCGCCCTCTCGCGGCCCCGTCGCCGCCCTCTCGCGGCCCCGTCGCCGCCATTAGCAGCCCCGCCGCCGCCCTTAGCGGCCGCGTCGCCGCCCTTCGCGGCCCCGTCGCCGCCCTCTAGCGGTCCCGTCGCCGCCCTTCGCGGCTCTGCTGCCGCCCTTCGCGGCCCCGTCGCCGCCCTACACGGCCCCGTCGCCGCCCTTCGTGGCCCCGTCGCCGCCCTCCAGCGGCCCCGTCGCCGCCCTCCAGCGGCCCCGTCGCCGCCCTCTGTCGGCCCCGTCGCCGCCCTCTAGCGGCCCCGTCGCCGCCCTCCAGCGGCCCCGTCGCCGCCCTTCGCGGCCCAGCCGCCGCCCTTAGCGGCTGCGTCACCGCCCTTTGCGGCCCCGCCGCCGCCCTTTGCGGCCCCGTCGCCGCCTTCTCCGCCGCCGCCGCTGCCGCACCGGCCCTGCCGCCGCCGCCTCCGCCGTGGAGTCGCCGCTGCCGCCGAGCCGCCGCCGCCGCTGTCGAGCAGCCGCCGCCGTCGAGTCGCCGCCGTCAAGCCGCCGCTGTCGAGCCGCCGCCGCCGCCGAGCCGCCTTCGAGCCGCCGCCGCCGCCGTCGAGCCGCCGCCGCCGCCGAGCCGCTGCCTGCCGCTGTCGAGCCGCCGACGCCGCAGTTCCGGCCCTGTTCTTGCCGGCGCGCCCCGGCCCTACCCACCCGGACTGGTGAGAGCACTCCCGAGCAGCGCCTTTGCCACTGCGCTGCCCCTAGCCTACTGCTCTCAGTGCTAGACTGCTGCTGTCATGGCTACCCCCAGTGTCCTTACCTTTGATGCTGAGGGTCGGGCTGTTGACTTTGAGGTCTGGGTCGATGACCTGCAGCTTTTCCTACAGTGCGATAGGACAGACGGACTCTCCCTGTTCGATCTCACCTCTGGTGCCTCTCCTGCCCCTCATGCCGATGCTGACAGCACTGTTCGCTCACAGTGGGCCACACGCGATGCTGCTGCCCGTCTTGCTGTGCGTCGCCACTTACCAACCGCTGAGCGTGCGCATTTTAGTCAGTACAAGAGTGCTAAGACCTTGTACGACGCTGTAGTTGCACGCTACTCTTCCCCTGCCACTGCTGCCCTTAGCTGCCTCATGCTGCCGTACCTGTTCCCTGACCTCGCCGCCTTTCCCACAGTCGCTGACCTCATTACGCACCTTCGCACTAGTGACACCCGCTACCGCGCTGCGCTTCCTGCCGAGTTCTGCGCCAAGAACCCCCCCCCCATGTACATCACCCTCTACTACATAGTCACCCGGCTCCCTGACTCCCTTCGCTCGGTCAGGGACCACTTCCTCTCTCTTTGCCCTACCACCCTCACCGTTGACCTCCTCGAGGAGCGCCTCCTGGCAGCAGAGAAGAGTATAGTCGCTGTAGGAGCCTCTCGTGGTGACCCTCGTACCCCCTTCTTTGAGGGGTGCTCCCCCTCCCCCCTCTTGCCCTCTATTGCCTCTGCTGCTGCGGCCGACCTCGTTGGCCTCGAGTCGGTCGGAGCTGCGTCTGCCCCTAGCGGGAGACGCCGCACCGGCAAGGGCAAGGGGGGCAAGGGTGCTGGAGGAGCTGGCGGGGGCGGTGGAGGTGGCGGTGGAAGCGGTGGAGGGGGTGGGGGTGGTGGTGGGAGTGGTGGCGGGGGTGGAGTCATCGGTGGCAGCAGTGGGGGCGGAGGAGGCGGCGGCGGTGGCGGTGGGAGCGGAGGTGGCGGAGGCGGCGGAGGTGGCGGCGGCAGCGGTGGAGCTGGTCGCGGCTCTACGCAGAGGGGTGGCTCCGGTGGTGGTCAGCGCCAGCAGCAGCAGCGCACTCGTGAGACCCCGTCCCCCCAGCAGCTTCGTGAGTGGTACGCTGGGCGTCAGCGGGGTGGGGGTGCTGGTCCCTGTACCTACGTCCTTCGTACCGGTGACCGCAGTGGTGAGCATTGCGGGAGCCCGCACTTCACCCAGCGCTGCTTCGGCCGCCTGCTGCTTCGGCCGCCTACCCCGGCTGCCCCCAACGTGAGGCAACTTGTGAAGAGTCTGTTGTCGTTCACAGCAGCAGGACGCGTGCAGATCCCCGGATGCCAACCGGGAGGACGCGAGCGGGACGAGCGCGACGAGGCGGGTGGCGATCCCGCTGGGCTCGGTGAACCCAGCCGGCCAACGGACCCCGTCCGGACCTCCCAGCAGGTGGGGGGGTATCGGATGCCAAACCGGTCCTCTTTTCCTCTCCCGAGAAGGCCGCGAAACGGAAAAATGGAGCCGAGAGTGTGGCAACCCTCGGTCTCCGCCCTCCAAAGTAGCGCGCACAGACCGGGCGAGGGGCGGACGGGGCTCGTACTAAAAATGGTCGGACCGGGGAAGAACCGGGCAAACCCCCAAACGATGGCTTCAAGTCAGGCGAGACTACCCGCTGAATTTAAGCATATTACTAAGCGGAGGAAAAGAAAACAACCGTGATTCCTTTGGTAGCGGCGAGCGACCAAGGAAAAGCCCAGGCTTGAAATCCGAGGGCCTCCGGCCCTCCGAATTGTAGTCTGAAAAGGAAGCGTTCTCTGTGACGGGCGCCGCCTTAAGTCCACTGGAAAGTGGCGGCAGAGAGGGTGACACCCCCGTCGGGCGACGACCCGTCACTTCACGAGGCGCATCCGAAGAGTCGGGTTGCTTGGGAGTGCAGCCCCAACATGGGTGGTAAGCTCCATCCAAGGCTAAATACGGCCAGGTTTCCGATAGCGAACAAGTACCGCGAGGGAAAGATGAAAAGAACTTTGGAAAGAGAGTAAAAAGTGCTTGAAATCGTCAGGAGGATAAGCGCATGAGCCCAAGCAAACCTGCGGGACCCGTTCACGCGGGGCCCGGAGGTACGCAGCGCCGGTCGATGCCGCGGGAAAAGGAGCTCGCTCCCACCGCGGCGGAGACCGAGGATGGCCCTCACGGGTCGGCGCTGGCGAAACGGGCTGATGCGACCCGTCTTGAAACACGGACCAAGGAGGCCAACGCGGCTGCGAGCCAATGGGTTGAAAACCACAATGGCGACAGTGAAAGCGACCCGTGAGAAGGCGGCCTCGTGCTGCCCGCACCACGGACCGCCCCGGGGGCCTCGGCGCCCGGGGTGCGTTGAGTAGTCGCGTTGGGACCCGAAAGATGGTGAACTATGCCTGAGCAGGGCGAAGCCAGAGGAAACTCTGGTGGAGGCCCGCAGCGCTACTGACGTGCAAATCGTTCGTCAGACTTGGGTATAGGGGCGAAAGACTAATCGAACCATCTGGTAGCTGGTTCCCTCCGAAGTTTCCCTCAGGATAGCTGGTGCTCGATACGTGGTTACGTCTGGTAAAGCGAATGATTGGCGGGCTCGGGGGAGAAGCTCCCTCGACCGACTCTCAAACTTTAAACGGGCGAGGAGGGCCGCCATCTTAATTGTGGCTGGCTTTCAGGGGTGCTGGCTGACCCCACCAACATGAGTGCCAAGTGGGCCATTTTTGGTAAGCAGAACTGGCGAGGCGGGATGAACCGAAAGCCGGGTTACGGTGCCTAACTACGCGCTAACCTAGATCCCACAAAGGGTGTTGATTGATTAAGACAGCAGGACGGTGGTCATGGAAGTCGAAATCCGCTAAGGAGTGTGTAACAACTCACCTGCCTGACACAGGCTAAGAACGCACCCTAAGTAGTACAACATGAGAAAGTAACCACCTCGGAAGTGACTTGTGATTGTACATACGACTCTACTCCACCCCCTCACCCGCCTCCTTCCCTTGCTAAGTAATAGGTTGAGCCCAATCGAGTTTGATCGCGCCTGATCTGATCGGGTCGGATTGCTTGTGATCACAATGCTCGAGCCGCCCGATCAGAGATAGTTTTCAGAGAGGATTCTCAGCGCCTGCAAAGTAAAGGCGGTTGAATTACCTGGCATTTTCGTCCCAATTTTAGCGTGACAGGCGACCAGAGTTGGCGAAACACAGCGAACGTCTGTATCGCGCGACTACAACGTAGCCACATTTTGTGGCGCGGTCGTCTGTAACAGCGAGCAGAAGCGAACCTCGCTGACGGTGGTTACTTTTCGCGCTTAATTGCCAACATACCCAATCTATCGATCGCTGTCGGTTGCAGTCGATTGCATCAGATCGAGGCAATCGATCGCAATCGATCGGGATCTCGATTGCGATCGGCAGATTGCCCCCGATTGCCCAAAAGCACCCCTTGGACCTTCTCGGAAATTGTGGATTGCGTAGATCGAGGCAATAAGCCTCAGATCGCCCCGATCTGCACCACGTCTTAAGGGCTAAAAACGGTCACCCTTGCGAAAATCAGGGCCAAACTTCGAGCAGCTCAGGACTCGAAGTGTTGGTCCCAGGGACTTCGGCCCCGTTCGATAGCTTTGACTCAAACAAAGTTTAGGGGTAACTACAATCCAAACAAAGTCTAGGCTGGCGCGGAGTGCTGTACACCCGCGGAGTGCTGTACACTCGGCAGGAGGCGGAGGGGAGGCGCCTGCGCAACCCATTTGACACGATCACAGAGGGCATTGGCATCAACCGCCTGACGGCTAATTTCAACGCTGCGAGGATCGATGGCGCGTTCAGAGGGACGGACAGGGAGGCCGTGGAGATGGCGCGGTGAGTTTCTTGTCGCAATACAAACCCCTAGACACGGCTGGCTGGCTGGCTGGCTGCTGTCTTCAACGCTGCGAGGATCGATGGGGCGTTCAGAGGGACGGACAGGGAGGCCGTGGAGATGGCGCGGTGAGTTTCTTGTCGCAATACAAACCCCTAGACACGGCTGGCTGGCTGGCTGGCTGCTGTCTTCAACGCTGCGAGGATCGATGGGGCGTTCAGAGGGACGGACAGGGAGGCCGTGGAGATGGCGCGGTGAGTTTCTTGTCGCAATACAAACCCCTAGACACGGCTGGCTGGCTGGCTGGCTGCTGTCTTCAACGCTGCGAGGATCGATGGGGCGTTCAGAGGGACGGACAGGGAGGCCGTGGAGATGGCGCGGTGAGTAGAGGGTGTGGGCAAGTGTGTATAGTGGGAGTGTATCTCTGCGTGTGTTTGTGTGCGTGTGTGCGTGCCTGTGTGCCTGCGCAACCCCTGTGGCACGATCACAGAGGGCATTGCCATGAACCGGCTGACGCGAATTCCAATACATGAACGATAGGGAGGCTGTTGAGATGGCCCGGTGAGTGTGTTTTCGTGGTGTGTGAGTGTGTGTTTTCGAGGTGTGTGGGTGTGTGAGTGTGTGGGGGAACCCCGTTGAGTGTATTTGTGTGCATGCGTGCGTGTGCGATGTGAGTGAGTGAGTGGGTAAGGGAGGGAGGATGTCATGTGATTGGCGGAGGCACTTGGCCCTGGCCACACGCCCCCACCCCCCCCTCCCCTTCTCTCCTCCCATTCCCTCATCCTCTCGCCCAAACACACAACAATGGTCTCTCCATCGCCTCCTGCTCTGCCTTTGATCTGTGCGGGCGTGCTGTGAGTGAGTGGCAGCGAATCTCGGCCCCGGACACACCCCTCACCCTACCCCACCCCCTTTCCGAATCCATTTCCCCGCACCTCCTCCAAACGCACCCACCCCTGTATTCCTCCTTTCCCTCAGCTACCTTCTGCGCAGCGACGGGCTCTTCATCGGGTCGTCCTCAGCCATGAACTGTGTGGGCGCCGTGCGAGTGGCAGAGAGGCTTGGTCCCGGGCACACCATCGTGACCATGCTGTGTGACAGTGGCTTCCGGCACCTCAGCAAGTTTCATAATGAGGGGTATTTGAGGGAACAAGGGCTGCTCCCCACTGCCAAGGGGCTTGAGTTCTTAGGCGGGAGATTTGCAGAGGGGGGTGATGTTTGAAGCGGGCACAGCATTGTGATCATTCTGTGTGACAGTGGCTTTCGGCATCTCAGCAAGTTCCATAATGAGTATGCGGATTTGAAGGGACAATCTCGCTTGCCGTCTGCGAAAGTTTCTGGGTAGGAGATTTGCGGAGCAGGGGTGATGGTGGTACAGAGCAGGCATGCCCTATTGTGTCCATGCTGTGTGACAGTGGTACTAGTAAGCATCTCAGCAAGTGCCACGACGAGGGCTTTAGGGGCTAGGTGCTCTTGCTCACTGCAAATGGAATGTCTTTAGCAGCCAATTCTTTAGTGCGCACATGCACAGTTACAAGAACACACACAAGACAAGACATGCCCAGATCCCAAAGCGTCTCCTCCCTGCAGTGAACACTGCATTACGTGAAGTCACACCCGGTGATCACTGCACTACGTGAAATCACACCCAGTGATTACAGCACTACGTGATGTAGAGAGAACTGTTTTTTAGGCGCCTAAAGCTCAAGCTAAAAAACAGAGAAAGGGTAGGACTGAAGGATGTGGGAAGTCAGAGAAGCAGCATGGGGACGAAATTGGTAGGCCACAAACAACAGAGAGAATCTTTCGTCAATAGTTGCAATATCCATGGATTCTTGTCCTCTTCCCTCATGTTCCCTGAGTACACGCTTCCTCCTGCCTCTCATGACTTGTAACGCCATTCCCATGACTTGTAACGCACCTTCCGTGACTTGTAATGTACCTCCCACTACATGTAGCTAGAAACGGACCTCTCACGCCTTGTAACGCTCCTCCCGTGACTAGCAACGCACCTTTTACGCCTTGTAACCCACTTTTTACGACTTGTAACGCACTTCTCGCAACTTGTAACGCAGTTCTCACGACTTGTAACGCACATCCCAGATGACGTGGAGCTCGGCCTCCCAGTCGCCGCGGCGAAGCGACGAGTCGTCGAGGTTCTTGTGCGCGTTGAAGAGCGTCTTGAGCTTCGGTACCTTGGGCCCGCACTGCCCCGCCCCCGCCTCGCACTTGCACCAGCAGTGACTCATCCTGACCCCAGATTCGCTAGTGACGACGGAGGGCTTGCTACCGACGACAGCAGTGGCTCATCTTGACCGCGGATTTGCTAGTGAGAATCGCAGTGACCCATACTGACCCAGGATTCGCTAGAGAAAGAATCGCAGTTACTCATTTCTATGACCTCTAAGGGTACATTCAAGGAAAAAGGATTCAGTGACGGCTATGGCAGCACGTGGTGAGAGGAGTCGGCGAGAATTCGAATGTCACATGCACCTAACAATGGTCTCATGGCTTGCGTTATTTATTAGAAGTCCTTGTAGTTTCTGCAAACGGAAGCATTTGAGAAGTGAATCACACGATCGTTGTGGTATGATACCATCATTAGGAAGACTAGCAAACACGGTAACTTCAGAGATCAAAACTATTCAAGGTGAGAGGCGTCCCATGCATGGTCACGACTAGGAGCTACTTTTGCTGTGCCGCTCGTTGCAACTCAAGTGCGACCAAGCCATGATCGGACGGCCATGACCGATTGTCAGCGAGGCTGACGGAATGTTATGGAACTTTTGAAAATGAGGTGACAGACTCAAGAGGACCCGAGACGCCATCTGTGATCAGTGCAAGCACCCGAGAAAGCACCTAGCCTGAGTTGCAGAATCTGGGATCCTCGATGTTGCCGAAGCAAGCTCCGTTATGCGTTTTGTCTGCTTCCATGGCCAGTAGCGAAAAGGTGATGCTGTTATCACCATTCTTATTTCAGTAGTGGAGCCTTTGAAGCCAACTCAAATACTGATATCAACACCACATCACAAAAACCCAACACAGTACAAGATAAGCTGACAAAATATCAGCAGCATATACATTGCAACTACTGGATAATTACCACTAAACGAACACTCTACGGCACACGGTCATAGTTTCAGTCTTGAAGTGAACTTAGTCCCTCCAAGCACTGCCAGCTCAGCAGCAACTGAAACCATCATGGCCTCCAGCTCATCCTTCCTATCTGACACAGGGGCCTCCAAGTTGTCCCCCGCAGTCAACGGGGTCAAAGCAGGAGCAGGAGCCTGTGCCAGCCCCTTTTCCCTTGCTGCACCCGCTCTCCAACTATCAGCTGCAGCGGCATCCATATCGTCACTGGTCCCGCTCGTATCTTCACTGGTCCCGCTCGTCCCACTGCTACCACTGCCACTGCACCTCCCACCAATGCTGATGCAACCCTCCTCCTCCGCTCCCACTCCCCCATCTCCCCCTCCCTGCTGCGGCACCACCCCTCTCCCACCCCCACCCACCCCCTTCCCCCTCTGCCTGGGCACAGTCGCATGGCCCCACGCAGCAATACAAGCCCTCGTAGCCCGCCTCACATCCTCATCCCTCGCCGGCCCCAGCCCACACACAGCCGCCTGGATCACCGGCGGCGAGTCTAAAAACTGGAAATGCCCCGCGTCTCGCAGCACAACCTCCCAGCTGGGGTTACCAGCCTCTTTAAAGAACCAGCGGTAGTTGGAGGCGGCAGGGGCGCAGTCCCCAGGGTAGCCGCCGCCCACGACGAGCGTGGGGAGGGAGAGGGCCAGGCCCTGGTTGGCGGGGTTGGCATCAGCCAGAAGGTGTTCGATGGCACTGTTGCCTGCCCTCATGGCTGCCACTGCTGACGGGTAGCCGGGGGCCAGAGGCGCGTAGACTGCAGGGGTGAAGGTGGGGGGGAAGAGGGGTTGAAAGAGAGTTAGTTGAAGAACCAGAGGTTGGCGGGGTTGGGCTGGGCGAGGAGGTGCTCTATGGCACTGGTGCCTGCCCTCATAGTTGCCACTGCTGAGGGGTACCCGGGGGCCAGATGCGCGTAAACTGCAGGGGGGGGAGGCCCAGGAGGGATAGGGGGAAGGATACAAAGGGAGGGGTGACGGGGTGAGACAGGGCATGGGAAAACGGGTCAATGGCACTGGCGCACGAGCCATGCTCGTGCTGAGGGGAGGGGTACTGGACGACGAGGGTGGGGAGGGAGACAGCCAGGCCTTGGTTGGCGGGGTTGGGCTGGGCAAGGAGATGCTCGATGGCACTGGTGCCTGCATGCATGGCTGCTACTGCACACACATGTGTGATTAATTAACTATGTGCCCTGCACACACATGTGTCTGACGGGTGTGTGCTGGTGCTGGTGCTTGGGAACTCACTTGTGTTATCGACGGGGTCGACGAGGCCGAGGGAGAGCACTCGAGGGTCCATGGCTGCTGCCAGCACGCTCACCTTGGCTGCACATGAGCACACGCATGCATGGATGCACAGGGGATGGGTGGGTGTACGCCATACATACATTAGAAGGAACAGACACACACACATACATGAATGCACACACACACACACAAACAAAGGCACTTGAGGGTCCATGGCTGCTGCCAGCACGCTCACCTTGGCTGCACACGAGTGCATGCAGAAAGGCAGCAATAGTGACGATCGAGAGTAGAAGGAGAACGAAATACACACTCGGGAGCGAATACACACTTGCATACACGTGAAAGAGAATCACACAGGTGTTCACAGCACAGAAACACAATAGGGAGCGGAGATCTTACCTCCTCTGGAGTGGCCACAGAGGTAGACCCGTGTGTTGTCTGCTATCCTACGAAGCAAGTGACTGCAGAGGGGAGGGGAGCGGGCAACCAGACGACCCATGAGAGCAGCTGCAACATGAGTTTTGCTGGGCCTTTGCTGCTAAGAACCATAAGTGAGTTAACTCAAAAGCCACAGCCGCTGCACCATGTTGGCCTTGAGCTAACAAAACGACAGAAGCCTGGCTGCGGCAGCATGGCATCACAGGAAAGAACCTTAATGAGAAAAGTTCGACAATGATGAGGACGATGGCATGATCAGACTCACCTGGTGCCAGCCCAGTTGATGAGCTCAGTGATGAACCGTGCACAGATGATGTCGTCCAGAGGGCCCATCAGCCCCTCCACCTGCCATGCATGCACCCGTGACTGTGTGAGTCAGTCAGGTCACTTGGCAGTTAAGTCAGTAGCTAAGTTGGTCCGTCGGTCAATTGATTGTTTGGCTGGTTGGTCGGTCAGTCAAATCAGTCAGTCAGTCAGTCAGTCAGTCAGGGGTGGTGGCAAGCACTGCATGAAACAGCAGTTGCCACTGCGTGAATCAAATATGCAATACTCACAAGCCTAAGGGTACCTAGTGAGGGACACAGAAAAACAAGAAAAAGGAAAGAAAAACCAAACACGCCCACCGAACGTGGCCCCCCTACCGAACCTTATTGTAGGTGACGACAGCGAAGCCCCAGCTGGCGAGGTGCTGGGCGTAGCTACATTGGAGTAACTTCTGAGAATCCCAAATGCTCCCTGCACCTCGTTGTAGGTACGCACGCCCCCCTACCGTACCTTATTGTAGGTGACTACAGCGAAGCCCCAACTGGCGAGGTGGTGGGCGTAGCTGCGGTACTGCGCGGAGTCCAGCAGGAACCCGCTGCTGAACACTGCCAAGGGGAACTTGTCCTCCTGTGGGGAGCGATGGGGAGCGTGGGAAAGGGCGGGAACATGGAGGAAAAGCGAGGGAGAAGGGCAACGGGAGCAGGAGGGGAAGGCAAGAGGTGGGTGGCAGCGGGAGTGGAAGTGGGTGGAAGCATGGAAACACGGAGTCCAGCAGGAACCCGCTGCTGAACACCGCCAGGGGGAACTTGTCCTCCTGTGGGGGGGTGTAGGGAGCAGGAGAGGGGGGGAGAACGAGGGAACGGGGACGCGGCAGAGGGAGTGGGAGTGGGTGGGAGCATGGAAACACGTAGTCCAGCAGGAACCCGCTGCTGAACACCGCCAGGGGGAACTTGTCCTCCCGTGGGGAGAGGAGCAGCAGCGAAGCAGGGCGGGCAGAAGTGTGGGAGATGATTGTGGCACAGGAGAAGGGATTGGGGTGGACAGTGAGACGGGAAGGAAGGTGTGACGGGGGGCTAAGGGATCACCTCAAGTAAAGAGAGGAGGGGGAAAAGGGGGGGGAGGAGAGAGGGGGAAGGGGGAGAGGAAGGGGGGACATGGAGCACTGCACGGGCATAGGCAAGACGATGAGAGTGAAAAGGGAAGCAGTTGACCGACCTGTAACGAGTATTGAGGCGTCCATGACGTGTGCCGCATCCTCGCTGGGTACGTCACCGTTATCCGCAGCAAGCAGCCCCCTGCTGCGCAATCCGGGAAGCAGGATGCACACGTGTGCTCCTGATGGTACAGATTCTCCACATCGTACGGTCCAAATTCGCTGAATCTCTTCTCCGCAATCAACCTCTCGTGAACAGGCACGAGTCGGGCAGCGGACCCCGCTTCAGACACCCACAGGCCTTGTTTGTCGTCTAGCAGGCTGCTCAACTCCCCAGGAAGAGAGTCAACGTCTGGCTGTAACGGTAACGGTAACGGAGTCGCGTTACCCGAACCCTGGATGGACCATCGCCGGCCTGTGTTACTGCGTAACGGCCGGCCCGCTCTGTCGCCCTCACCTTCTAGAAGAATCCCTGCTCCGGCTAATGTGGCTCCACCAAGTAAGAACCTTCGGGGTATCGCTCGTGAGCTATCCTGCTTAGCATCCGCAGCAGACCTAGCTTCCGCTCCTGAAAAGTCACGCGGTAATCGTGAATCTTCCAAGTCTTGTGGGTATTGTTGTGAATCCTGAGACCCCAAGTTGGTGGTAGGAGCGCTCTCTCCTAAGGTGTTGCGGCCTGACTCGTTGCTGCCTTCTGCACGTAGAGAGGAGAAAATGAAGGGTGTGATCGAGTGAAATGCAAAAGCAGGAATGGAGGCTCAAATGACCGACACACAAAACGTCTGAAGTGCCGATTACCTGATGACGTCGAGGAGTCGTTTTCTGAACATCTTAATATTCTGAGAGCGTGAGTGTAGCCTCGAGAGGGAGAGAAGTTTTTATGGAAATATTTTGATTGAGACCTGGACAGAGCGGCGGAGAAGCTGTTTGGCAGCGTGACAAGCTTCTGTGCGATCGCAAAATCCATGACGCAGTGGAATGTCTTCGTTTCTTAATGCGGCGAACGTCGTCGTCAGCAAAGCTCGAGTACGCCAATATATTGAACAGCAGAGGTTTGCAAGGGTCGTTAGAACCTCCTCAAGTAAGAGATCGAGGCCTTGTTCTGTGGCCCCTTAACTCAGAGTTAACTGGGTTCGTGGTGGCTTCATTAACTCAGGCCTTACACGTGTGAACGTTACAATCACACCGTGCCAGCTAACTCAGAGTTAGCTAACTAGGGTCACAAATACGCAAAGTAATAACTCAGGGTACGCTCCGTAGGAAGCTTGTAGGGAATCTTCTTTCACGGGCAAACTAACTCAGAGTTAGTGCTCTCGCTTACTCTAGCTTTTGGGGTGAAACTCAATACACTACTCAGAGCGCGATTCGAGCAGGGTAAACCTAGTGTAACATCAATTTGGTAAAATTTCGGAATCATTCACCCCAAACGATTAATTCCCACCAATCTCATTTCTCAAAATCTTACCATTCCGCCATATTTGTTTTGTTATATGCGATCGGGGCAGTTAGGGCACAACCGGAAAAGTTTTACGATAGAGCTTTCAAGAACCCCCACGCAACTTCCTTAACTCGGAGTTACGAGGGGCCACAGATCACCCACGTGAGTTACTACTCAACACTCACACGAGCGTAATGATGCTTTGTTGGTGATTCACACGAGCCTACACGGCTCGGTAACTCAGAGTTAGCTAACTCTGAGTTAGCGCCACAGAACAAGGCCTGAGAGGTCCCTGTCGCGAAGGTGGTCGGCTTGGGTGCTACACACAGGCACCTCGACACCTTGTTGGCAAGAAAATGCTTGCGCCGTGCTGACTAACGGAAGGACGTGTGGCTCAAACTGGGGCCCTCGTTGACATGGAATAGCCATGGCGGAGCGGTCTGACCATCCGAGGCAGCAGAACACGTGTTTTGACTGTCTCGTGTTTTGATCACCCAACCCAACACTTGAGCTCTGCTCAGCACACCCTGCTTTCTTGAACCCCACGAACGACCTCCACAAGAAACTGGGACGGAATGCACGTCCCGACTGGATTTATACCACCGTTTGTTACACTCCAATATTTCAGGACTGGTTTCTGAAAGGCCAACGGAGTATCCGGTGTTTGCTAACTATCCCAGTTGCGACAGAACTGGCACTTACGACCCCCGGTCCGCGAAACCATCGATTTAGTGCCCCTCCCATTTGTTCTTGGGCGGAATGGCTGATGTCTACCGTTGTGGTTCAAAACTCGAATCCAACCAATCGCAGCACCTCAAATCGAAGTCTCCGACAGCTGATGCAGGACTTCGCACACTTGTGGAATTTTTTCGCCTGCTTTTGTAACCACCCTCACACGAATCCTTTTCCAACCGAACAAATCAAACCAGCCCGTAAAATTGCCCAGACTAGGCTGAGAATCGCTTACGTGGCGGATCCTACCCATATCTGTTCCTGAATGACTGGCTACGGAAGTAGCGGCCACGTCGCAGCTCCATCACGGCACATCTCTTCCCCATCCATCCCATGTGCGATGTCCCGCGCTCCACCACCAGCAGCCCCTATCGATCAATGCACCTTCTCCATTGTTGCTTCCTTTCCTTTCCTTTCCCTCTCCCACAGGCCTCAACACACTCCCCAGCATCCCTCCCTCACACACTCCCCCCTTCTATTCGCTCCTCCACTCAATCTCCTCCAGTGACCAGTCCTGTCCCACCTCTGCTTGGTCTAACCTCGCGCATCCCTGCCACAGTCCTGCGGTTCGGTTCAATTTCTTAGTCTGGGGGGACTGGGGTTTCTCTTCAAGCAGGAGCAGCAAGCGTCATTTGTTAGCTACGATTCGAGTGACTGCAATAGATGGTTAGTTTGAGCATCGGGTAGCGGAATTGTTGAGTGAGATCTGCTTGCGGGTTTCCTAGTTCTCACTCAACCGCTCCCTATCCGAGTCCTTTTGACTATCAATCGATAAGTAGCTGGTACGCGTTACTCTGAAAGCGGCGTCGCCCTTCCGAGCAGCACCAGGCATCTAGTATTCTGCAGATTCGAAATTCTAGTTCAAATGTCAACAGGCCTTTCCCATGCAGGATTCCGTTGCAGACTCAACCAGAAGAGGTTACCAACAGATACTCAACGCAGGTGTCGCCGACGTGCAGAGACATCATTTAGGTTCTCACCTCTTGAGTACACTTACCCCCACAACTCTCGCCAATGCCTGGATCATCGAAAGCACCTACAACCTACAGTGGTCAGCACTCCAGCCCTTGCCCCGCTGTTGATATCTCGCCTGTTGTCTCGAGAAAGCACTTATAGCTATAATGGATGGATTTTTACTCGTTTCAGGTCTCGGGACTTGGCGAGCCTGCGAAATTCTGTCCCTCGAGGCTTCACATTTCGGACATGACAGGGAGCACACTGGCACTAGCCGTGTCAGAAGACGCTGGTCTCTTACCTCGTGTATATACAGTGACACATGACGACATGACGGCTGACCTATTTTTGACGATTAGTTCAGCCGTTGACGTCAAACAGGTGTGCAACTGCACCCCCCCTCCCTCCTCCCCCCTCCCCCCACCCCCCTCTTCCCCCCTTTTACTTTATCCGCAAATGTCGAATTAAAATCATACACCTTTTTTTTCCTTGGTCAGCTAGATGGATGGTCATCGAAGCTCTTCCGCGACGAAGTCGTAGGGGAGTGGAAATTACGACAAAAGGCCGAAGACGAGGTCCAATATTCCTTGCATCTTCACTGTCATGTTAGCGGGTCTCATTCATTCCTCGCGCCCCCTGTCATCCGAAGCTGGATATTTGAAAGAGAAATGCCATTGGTGAGCACCATAGTATATTGTTTGATCTGCTGATGAAGCTTGTCGTTTGACGCTCAGTTGACTAACCCTAGCATGTATTGTTGTCTCCGCCAACAGGTTTTGGAGTCCATCATGTTCGCTGAGAAGGCTTTGCTCGCTTCTCATCCAGGTAAGCACTTCACTATATTGTGTGCTTCACTATTGTGTGAACCTACTCATAGATCGTGTGCTTCACCATTGTGTGAACCTACTCATTATCTACTTCGCAACTGGTTGCAGATCTTACCGCCGCAACTGTATGGATCCACTACCACTCCCACTCGCCCAGCTTCGACAGAGCAGATTGCTGGGGTCCTCTGCACAGCAGTGTATCGCGTTCCAGGGATGACGCGACTCTACTAGACGTTTTGGGCATCTGTTTAAGAGACTTGTTTCGCTGGCCATTTGACAGCCCAGACGTTCCAAGTGCTCCCGCTCCAGCCTTACCCGTTCAACCGCAGTACAATCCCATTAGACAGCCCCGACCACAAACGCTGGCTCTTATTTCCAGAAAACACCCAGAGCAAGTGTTTGTTCCGGTAGTTCTGGGTTTCGTCTATGTTTTGAATTGTGTTTTTCTCATGAACGTTCTTGCTGCCACAATGCAGTGAGAACCATTCAATTTTTCGATAGAACCGTGCGGCTGCTGCTGCAATTATGGTGATTACTGAGTCCTTTGTTTCAAGGCCCCATTCCGTTATACTGGTAATAAATTAATACGATGCCAAGAGCTGTTGCCATGTGTGCAAATATTATGTTAGCATATGATACCAGTTGCTTCTTCAGCTGACCAGGTACAAGCTGACCAGTCGTGGTTTTGTTGGTGTAGTGTACAGAGCAAGGCATAATAATCTGATGTATGCACTAGCCTGACAAGGTCAGTAGTTAGTTACCATGCATTTACAGTCCATTCTTCGTGGCTCATAATCATGACTCGTGAGTCATGACGGCTACACACGGTGGAAAACAGTTTATGTTCCGATGTGCAACAATCAGACTGCAAATAATGTTTAGGAGGAGCATGAGACATGACCTGACCGGTAATCGTGACCTTACCATACCACAGCAAGAGTTGGTGGCCCAAGTCCTTGTTCATAACATCAACTCAACAGGTCTAAAACACACGTTCGTGCAACAGGTCTAACAAGTAGCAATTTCTCCCCCTGATTTCACTGGTTTATTAAAAGCAGCCCACCACACCTCAATAAATGTGCAGCAATAGGTCTATAGTACACTAATTAAACTCCCGAGTCCCCACCCCCAACAAACACCATTCAGTAAACGAAGCCTGCATGGCTAACAGCTGTTTAGGCACAGCAACAGATTTAATTAAAATGCTGCAACTCGGACAAATCCCCACTGGATGACTCTGCTTCAATCAAATCACGGAGCTTGGCGGCCCTGCATTGATAGCATATGGAGAACCATGGGCAGGATTTGAAACAAACATAAGATATACTGTGTGATGATTTAACTTCGTACACAAGCTGCAAGCGAAGCCAGAGACGTACCACAGTCGAATCCAATGAAAGCGAGGGAGCTGCTGCAGCGGGTGCGAGCGCAGAAGTCGAACGCAGTGTCCTCAACGGCTGCCTTGAGAGGTGCAAAGCCCGCCGGACAGGAGCAGGTCGGGGGCGAGCCGTCAGTGGGAGATGTGCAGAGCGCTTCAACGGGGCATGCTGCCGGCACCATGCACTTGCGGGTAACTGGAATGGGGGGAAGGGGAGCAGGGGAGAGCATTTTCAAGTCAAGGGGAAGCTGAGCCATCAGGGGAAGCTGTGCAGAGCGCTTCCACGGGGCATGCTGCCGGCACCATGCACTTGCGGGTAACTGGAATGGGGGGAAGTGAGCAACGAGGAGCAGGAGGGAGCAGGGGAGATAATTCAATAGTAGACTGTGCAGGTCGGGGGCGAGCCATCAGTGGGAGATGTGCAGAGCGCATCCACGGGGCATGCTGCCGGCACCATGCACTTGCGGGTAACATGAATGGGGGGAAGGAAGGAGCAGGGAGCAGGAGGGAGGAGCAGGGAGGAGGGAGCAGCAGGTAGCCACAGGGAGCGAAGGAAACCAGGAAGTTGAGTTTGAGAAAATATCAAGATCCTTAATTCCTTAGGGGAGGAACTGGAGCAAGGTTGTAAAAGGTGCGATTGGGATGGGTAGTAGCAGGGGGTGGAGAGAAGACTGAGGAGCTTGATGGGAGATGGAATTTGGTACGTTTGAGTTGTTGGAATGATGATACAAGTGAAGACGGGTTGCACCCACACAAAAGAGGTGGAGATAAGTGTGTGTATTATGCATCCTCAATATGGGAAGATGCTGTGATGGAGAGAGAACATTCACTCGCATCGGTTGATACATCGGCGGACGGAACACAATGGCGAGAGAACATTCACTCGCATCCCAAAGCGAGAACTTCGGTTGGCGAGAGCACAAAGATTGGCGAAAACAATATTCGCGAGAGAATATTTACTCACTCGTGCACGACGGCGAACCAGCCTCGCGAAGGCACGAGCACCCTCCCACGTCCAGCGCGTCTTGGCACACGAGCCGCGTCAAGCACTTCTGCCGCACTCCCAGCTTGCACGTCGCAGCGCCTGAGAATTCACATGGAACAAAGGGGACGAGACGAATTAGAAAACAAAGACATTCGTTCAGAAGGGGCAAATGAAAATATTCAAACACACGCCTACGCGAATGTGGGCGTAAACTGCAACGAGAAAAAGTGATCGGTTCACGAAGCAATGGGAGAGGAATGGGGATCAGGGAAGAGGTGCCCGGCAATGGGGTGACGCGGGAAACATGGGAGAGCGTAAACGTAAACTGTAATGCGATGTACGCATCTTGCATGAAGGAAAACAAACAAGTACTCAACAAGCGATGGACCCTGTGAAGTCAGTCAACTGTGTACCTGACGCGCCAAACACATCAGCTGATAGCGAGGATGCAGTCGCTACTCCACCTCCGCTCCCACTCTTGGACATTGACTTTTTCTTCTTCTTGGGCGGCTTTTTCTTGGGCTTCTTAACAGGAGCCTTCTTAGGGGGAGGCGGACGCGGCGGAGGGGAACGGGGGGGAGGCGGAGAGGCGGCAACTGCGGGCGGCGGTGGCGAACTGGCAGTGGCGGAAGGATCTGGGTCGGCTCCAACGGAAAGGTCCGCGGAAGCTTCTTTGGCGCCTGGCGGGGAGAGAACGCCGGACGCGGAAGGCAGGACGGGAGGAGTCGAGCTGTTAATAACGGGTACAGCGACTGGTGGAGGCGGGCTCGCTATAACGGGCACGGTGACAGGAGGAGGCGGGCTGCTTACAACCGGAACGGCGACTGGTGGAGGCGGGCTGTTTATAACGAGTTCAACTGTCGGAGGATGCGTCCTGCTTGCATCGGTTTGAGCAGGGGGAGGGGGGCTGCTTGTAACGGATTCGACTACTGGGGGAGGCGGGGAGAGAGTGCTCGAGACCGCTAGCGCGAGCGGAGGCAACGGGGGAGGTGGGGAATCCACAGGGGGTGGTGGAGAATACACAGGAGGAGGCGGAGAGCTGACAAGGGGAAGGGGAAGAAGGGGGATGGGAGGTGGCGAGGGAGGGGGAGACGGGGGAGGGGAGGACAGCAGCGGAGGGGGAGACGGGACAAGTGGAGGAGGGGAGGCGACGAGCGGAGGGGGAGAAGCGACAAGTGGAGGCGGGGAGGCGACGCGCGGAGGGGGCGACGCTACAAGTGGAGGCGGGGAAGCGACGAGCGGAGGGGGCGACGCGACAAGTGGAGGCGGGGAAGCGACGAGCGGAGGGGGCGACGCGACAAGTGGAGGCGGGGAAGCGACGAGCGGAGGGGGCGACGCGACAAGTGGAGGCGGGGAAGAAACGAGCGGAGGGGGCGGGGAAGAGGCAAGTGGAGGAGGGGGGGAATTGAGCGGAACGGAAGTGTCGGTGACGGTGCTGGCGGATTGATCTGTCACCATTCCAGTGGTGCCGGGGGGAGACGGAGGAGGAGGGGGACGAGGCGGAGGGGGGGGGACGCGGAGGAGGTGGCTTAGGCGGACTGGGCGGCGGCTTCGGCGGCGGAGATGGCGGCGGCGGTTTCGGCGGCGGGCTCGGCGGCTTGGGCGGCGGCGGCGGGGAAGGCGGTTTCGGCGGAGGAGGCGGACTTGGAGGCGGCTTTGGCGGGGGTGATGGCGGCGGCGGCTTCGGCGGGCTGGGCGGATTAGGGGGCGGCGGCGGGGACGGCGGAGGGCGCGGTGGGGGAGGCCTGGGGGGAGGCGGGGACGGCGGCGGTGGCGACGGCGGCGAGCGATTCGCGACGAATTTCTGAACGCAAACCGCGCTGGAGAAAAAGCTCGAACCCGACTCGGTACCCCCGAGCGGCACGAATCCCGTCGTGTCGGTATCTATCGCGCCGTCCGCTGCAAGCGCCATCGCGTATACGCCTTCGGGAAGCGCGAGTAGCGCCAGCGCCGGGCTGCTGGGATACACCGCGAGCTCCCCGCCGTCATATGCGGCGGTGGAGTATTGAAAGGAGCCTAAGTACGCCGCCGAGGCGCATCCTCCTGCCTCCGTGTAGCCAATCGCGTCCATGGTCCCCAAAAAGGTCGCGCCTCGGGACGCCATGAGCGTAGACGTGCCGCCGTAATTCGCGGCGCTGGTAACCAGCACGTTCTTATTCTGCGGATCAACGCCGAGTGATCCGGGCGTGCCTGTCGTCAGCACTGTTGTCGATAGCGGCGGCGGGAGCGCGGTTCCCGCGAGCGGAAGTGCGTACGTGTAGAGAATGTTCGTGTCGTACCGGAGAATGGCTAAGAAGCCGCCGCCGGGAGAACAGACGGCCTGCCGCGCCGCGTACGACGCCGAAAACATCTTAATCGCCGCATTGGCTTGGAAATTCCCAGTCGTCGGATCTATCGGCACAACGACCACCACGTCAGAATCGTCAGCCGTGACGTGGCAGGTGAGCACGAGGAAATCCGAGGGGGAGGCGGCTGGCGAAGAGCAGAACGAAGCGGAAAGACACTGGTAACCCGCTCCGACGAGCTTGCGCGACGAGCCCGTCACCCGGTCTACTGAAACCGCACCCGCCGCTGTCTCCGACCCATCCGCTACCACCAGAAGATTCTCGGAAGGTCCCCCAAGCGCTACAACCGTTCCTGAAAACCCGCCGGGGAGAGCCACGGGCGGTAGCGGCACCGCGCCGTCTAGGGTGTAGTTAATCGCGTTTAGATACGAGCCGCCCGAAGATAAGTAGGCCGTGCCGTCGGTCGCGACGCCGCAGGAAGTGAGCTGCGCGTTAGCGTTGCTGTCGGCTTTGCTGGAATAGCCTATTTCGCGACGCGTTCGGAGATTAATCTCCCATACCTGGGACGTCGTGTCGCCTGTGAGGGGATCGTACACGCCGCCGCCTACTATCGCTACCGGGAGGCCTATTGTCGAGTATTGGCATAGCGCGGGGGACGGGAGAAGGGCGAAGGACATGAAGAGGAGGAGAAGTGGCGCCGCCGTGAGTGACGCCGCGATTGCCGCCGCCGGTCCACGTGGGGATCCCACGTGGCGGCGCGGCGGCAGCCGCACAGCCATTATGTGGCCGTAAGGAAAGGTTCCGTCAGCTAAGTGGGATTCATCCTGATGACGCGGCGGAATGTGCGGCGGAATATGCGGCCAAGGACAATGAGAATGCGTGTCCGAGGTGGGTTATTAGGGAATGAGATTCGACGGGTAGGTAAGGTTGGGGGTCAGGACAGGATGCTCACGCTGCGTCGGTTATGGTGGGAGGCAATGGCGCATGTGGGGAGGGTGGGCTGGCTGGCGGCTTGGCAGAAGAGATTTGTTGTTCAGGGGTTCATCAGTCTTCAGAACTGACTGGACTGAATTGAACAGAAGGCAACGCAACGGGGGCTGGGTGTTGTTTGTGGGGCTGGCGAAATTGGAGTGCGGAACAGTGCGTAGTGGGGTCCTCTTCTACACCGCATCCACAAAATCAGTCCTTTGTGTGTGGTGTGGTCCTCCTCTGACCCGACGTGTAGTGTACCGTGTGTAACGACATCGCTGGATGTAACGACGACAATCAGACGTGTTTGAAATTGTCGTGTTGACAACGATAGACTTCTCGTGGCGAGGAAGCGTGATAGAAGAGGAGTGAAGTGGGATTGGGTTGGTAAGTTGGAGGATGTGCCATGATGCGTCGTGGCGAGGAGAGGCGATGGAAATGCAGCAGAGTGAACTTGAGTTGAGAATCTCCTCCACCCCCATCAAGAAATCGAACAAGCAACCATGTCATCGTCGTGCGCATGGAGCGATGAAACGAACGAGTGAAAGGATGAATCGGCGGGCATGCGGGTTCCGTACACCTTGCACCATAACGTGTACCACAGAAACAGTCACGCGTCTGGGTGGGAGATGTTTTGGTTGGGTTGAGGGAAGTGCCTGGGTTTGCAGATGAAACGCATACACGTAGATTGCAATGTAGCAGGACCTCAAGCATGGTGGTGGTGTGGTGTGGTGATGGCGGTGAATCTGTCCCGAATTTGCATGGATCTTCACCTGCCCCTTCCTCGCTCGAATCGCAGATTCCCTTGAAGGCAGTTTGGCTACCCCGGGTGGTTCATCCAGTTGAGACTTTCGAGTGGCTGCAACATGGACGCAGCAACTCCAAATTGTTGGCCAGGATAATAACAAAATGGTTTGGAAGTGTAATCGTGTAGAAGGTGTACACCCTCTTTCTCACCTATCTCACCGGCGGAAGCACTGGCTACAGTGTTTGGACGTAGCGGGCTGGTGAGATAACTCGGTTGCGGGCAAAGTCGCACGAGGGTTTGAAACACGCCTTGGGCCGTAAAAAACCATTAACGTTGAATAACCATCCCAACTGCTTTGAAAACAACAGTACCGTTCCAGAACTTAAAAAATCTTGACTAAACGCCCTGGGTCAAATTGTCACTATAACGCATGTGATAGGACCTTCTTGGGTCCGGTGCGGTCACACTAAGCGTCGTGGTCAGTATAACATATGCCAGTCTATCGAGAATGAGGGTGTACTATCCATTTTGACAACCGTAGTGATATTTCTCTCTTACACCCAAGCTGTCTTTCTCGCTTGGCTACCATTGCCGTTATGAGCCAGCCTGGAAAAATCTGACCTGAAGGCAGAGCGCAGGTGGCTGCCACACTGGCCCTGTGGACGAAGTTCTGTCTTCCAGGTGGGTAGCCAACTCTACCAACTTCTAGGGTGGGCAAACTTGCGCGACGCGACAGACCGCGAACTTCTCTCAATCCTATCGACCAAGCTCGCACCGCATGTAGGGCGACCGAACCCCCCGCAAATGAATCGACTTACATGCGCTTTTGCGATTGTATCTGCCATTTTTGACGGGTTGGAGTCGGTGTTCCCTCTCGATATCATTGTGTCGCGTGAAGTCGTAACTATTGCTACATTGGTTTGTTTTTTGTTTGCAAGGTTTTCTGTTTCCGGTGGCATTTTTTTCGCCACCTGTCCATCGCGATTTTCTGAAACTTTTAAGGCGCATGAAACTTAAGCTGGGGCTGACAAAAAAAAACCCCTTAAAGGGAGTGACGCAATTCGGGATGCATCAACCCTAAACACAGGAACTGGCAAGGTGTTTAGGGTTGATGCATTTAAAGCGGTGCCTGGCTCGCTAGGGGTTTTAGTTGTTTTTACACCGTTTAAAAAACAAGTCATTAAAATTTGCTAAGACAAGCCTTGTTGGCGCGTCTAGACTGAAGTGACGTAACAGGTCGCAAAATTTGTCTTTGATGAAAGAAATGAAATCCCGGGCTGTAATCTCGCGATTCTGACTGTAACACAAAATAGAAGCTTTCGCTGCATGAATATAATGTGGAAGCGCATGTAGGTCGATCCATTTGGATGAGGTTTGGTCGCCCTACCTGCGGTGCGAGCCTGGTCGATGGAATTTAGAAAAGTTTGTGGTCTGTCGCGTCTCGCAATTTTGCCTCTAGGGTGCGACGAATCTGTACTCGCATTGACAGACTCAATTTCCTATGTAATATGCATTACGATTAGAAGTAGAAACAGTCATACCTCACAATCTTACTTTGTGACTTTAGCGTAACTCCTTTTACACGAATGACCGGTAAAATATTTCCGCAAGGAGTCTCGTCGTAATCAACCGACCAGTAAAATTACTCGAGCACTCTCCTACAGCGTACAAAGCCTGGCATTATTCCCCCAAATGACAACGCCAAACCTGCGACCGAACCAATCGCAAGGCAGCCACAGCAGGTCTATCCTCTCCCGACCAATTTACCTGCCAAGCTCCTCGGTGTTACCCAGTGTCCGAACCAACCTGCCAGCAAGTTCGCGCCCTCTGTGACCAGTGAAGTTCAGTGGAGTGAATTTAATTTTGGTCAACTGCATTCAGGTATTTGACTAGTGTTCTTCCCGCGCAAGAGGCGCGACCATTAACCTTGCTCGGGGTTACGTTCAATTCCCTGATCGTAGGAAGGATTGATTGACGCGTGTTCCAACGATTTCGTGCAAGTCCTGCTCCTGCATTTGCGCGCGACAAGTATGTCAGGCTCGAAGAAGCTCATAAATGACCCGTCAGGTGCGAAACTGTAGCTCCATGCCATCTCGTCTCGCTTACGCGATTTATTTTCCCGCTTTGCGAAACTCTCTAAAACGGCCAGGTTTCAGGCGTAGGTTCTGTATGCGTTGGCATTTATGTTCAAGTAAAACGCCTTGAAGCTCGTATGTGCATGCGAACAAGACTCGCTGTGAGTCGTCAGAGAAATACAAACTTCAGCTGCACTGGCTGAGCTCACTTCCGCCTTGCTGCATGTTCATGGGTCTAAATAATTCAGAATTTCTCCAATTCCGGGTGTAATTGCCGCGCAGATGTGGTCCTCGAGATGATCGAGGGCTTGGTGGAGACCTACCCCAACCTACAGTACCTCGACGGCTTCCCTGACGTGAGTTGCTTCTCTCAGGCGCCTCAAAGTTGTAAGGGTTTAAGTGGTTTTTTGGAAAACAACCTAGAGATACCGTTTGGGACCTAAATGGCTTCCTGGACGTTTGTCTGGATGGCTTTCGTGACGTGGAGTGGAGGTCCATCATAATGAGCGGGACAATTCTTTGTGCAAGAACATCTGTGTTCTGATTCCATCTTGATTTTTCAACTTTGAATATGCTGACTCATAATGAGTACCCGTCAACTAGCGATCTGTCCCGCTTAGCAACAGGGAGTGGCTCAAGTCTCTGGCTATACAAAGCAAGAGGATATTCTCAAAATCCCAGCGTGCGTCAGCTGCAGAAAATTATGAAATGTTCCTGGCGAAATCAATGCAGGTGAAGGTGGTGCTGCGAGCTGACGTCAGCAGAGGGACGTACGGGAAGGTGGCAATCATTTCGGGCGGCGGGAGCGGGCACGAGCCAGCACACGCAGGGTTCGTGGGGAAGGGCATGCTCACTGCCGCGGTGTGTGGGGATGTCTTCGCCTCGCCTTCAGTCAACGCTGTCCTCATGGTATGGTATGGTATGGTATGGTATGGTATGGTATGGTATGGTATGGTATGGTATGGTATGGTATCGTATGGTATGTATGGTAGTAATTATTTGGCTCGAGTCAGCTCATGCAGGGTTCGTGGGGAAGGGCATGCTCACCGCCGCCGTGTGTGGGGATGTATTCGCCTCGCCTTCTCATGGTGGGTGAGCATCGCATATGGTGAGTGAGAAGAATAAATTAATGTCGGCAAATGGTGAAGGGTGAAGCTGATTGACTCCGGAGGAGAAGGGTGAAGCTCACAGTCTCTCTCGAATTGACATGCATTGAGTCGACTCAAAACACAAAAGGGTGAAGCTCACAGTCTCTCTCGAATTGACATGCATTGAGTCGACTCAAAACGTGTTTTGAGTCGACTAAAAACACAAAAGGGTGAAGCTCACAGTCTCTCTCGAATTGACATGCATTGAGTCGACTCAAAACACAAAAGGGTGAAGCTCACAGTCTCTCTCGAATTGACATGCATTGAGTCGACTCAAAACACAAAAGGGTGAAGCTCACAGTCTCTCTCGAATTGACATGCATTGAGTCGACTCAAAACGTGTTTTGAGTCGACTCGAAACACAAAAGGGTGAAGCTCACAGTCTCTCTCGAATTGACATGCATTGAGTCGACTCAAAACACAAAAGGGTGAAGCTCACAGTCTCTCTCGAATTGACATGCATTGAGTCGACTCAAAACGTGTTTTGAGTCGACTCAAAACACAAAAGGGTGAAGCTCACAGTCTCTCTCGAATTGACATGCATTGAGTCGACTCAAAACACAAAAGGGTGAAGCTCACAGTCTCTCTCGAATTGACATGCATTGAGTCGACTCAAAACACAAAAGGGTGAAGCTCACAGTCTCTCTCGAATTGACATGCATTGAGTCGACTCAAAACGTGTTTTGAGTCGACTCGAAACACAAAAGGGTGAAGCTCACAGTCTCTCTCGAATTGACATGCATTGAGTCGACTCAAAACACAAAAGGGTGAAGCTCACAGTCTCTCTTGAATTGACATGCATTGAGTCGACTCAAAACGTGTTTTGAGTCGACTCAAAACACAAAAGGGTGAAGCTCACAGTCTCTCTCGAATTGTCATGCAGTAGATTTACAAGCCACGCCGCTGGCGTATTGTTGGACGACGCCGAGAGAGAGGAGGATTCGCTGGATCTATTTAAATTCGTTGCATCTGCTGAGCACTGTGTCAAACATACGACCCACTCAAGTCACCAGGAACCTCGTTAATTCGTCAGTACAGTCTCCCACCAAACAAACACCCCCTCCCCGCTCCCCCTTCCCCCCCCCCCCTTCACCCCCCACCCAAAGCCCCATTTCAACTTCCAGAAAAATGGTAGGCACACCCTGGTGCCTTTTGAGACGTCTCAAAAGTAGGCTCACCCTGGTGCATATGCATGCATGCACCATGTTCAGGTGCTTGCTCGCTTGTTTGTTGTTCGTGTGCATGTCTCAAGACACCCCTGTGCTTGGGGTTCCTTCCTTGTGCATGCAGGCCATTCGGGCAGTGACTGGGCTTGCTGGCTGCCTCTTGATCGTCAAGGTGTGTCATATGGCAGCAAGGGTTATAGGCAAATATGTAATGCATCGCATTTCACCTTCTATCTGCTGCTGTGCCAACCAAGTCTTCACGACCTGACGTAAAAGTTAGGTTTCCGAACAAGCCCAGAAGCCCCATATTCTCAGCTGCTGCTGTACATTGAATTCAAGGTGTCCGTCGCCCCCTTACTTGCCCTCCATGCTCCGAGAGGTACAGTTCATTATGAACAGCAGGTTCCTCATTATTTCCCCAGAAGGACAAGATAAATGCTCACTAAGCTCTCGAGGAAGATGAAGTTCTCCTACCATCAGGTTCCTCAAGAGTAGTACAGTGTAGACAGCGGTTGCTTCAACTGTTTGACGCTTCAAGAAGAGTTCAGTTCAGTATAGCCACTAAATTCTCGTGTCTTCCTGTAGTGGTTTGGCTGGTGAGTTGACTCCAAGACATGTCTTCTCATCACCATCGCATCACTTTCCCCCCTCTTTCCGCCCTTCCTTTTTGGCCAGAGCTACACAGGCGATCGGCTCAACTTCGGGTTAGCAGCAGAGCAGGCCAAGGAGGAGGGCTTCAAAGTCGACGTAAGTCAGTCAGTCCTCTTGTGTGAGCCTCCTCGTCTTCACACATCGTGAACTGCACTGCCCTATCTCCAGGGGTTTAAGATCTCTGGACGGCTATACTTCACGATTCAACCCACCAATTGGAGATTTCACGATTCTCTCATTGGGACTGCCCCCGATTCCCTCCCCATCCATTCCTTGCTCATTTCCGATGTACTTAAGAGCCTTGAGCTCATTTCGTAATGTATCAGTTTAAGCTCAAGTTCTTACACTTCACAATTCGTAACCCTCCCTGGGAGTCCCTGCTTCAGACCCTTCAGCTGGCCGCCTCCTCTCACCGCTCTTCCCCCTCACGTCCATTCCTGAGTCTCTCCCCTAGTGCTTGTATGTGAGTTGCTGCTTCAGGTGGTGGTGGTGGGAAAACAAGGTTACGATGCCAATTTAGTTCTTTCATGGGCTGATTATCTCCCATCGATCCCCACTTCCCTGATGGCCTTGCGTCCAAACTCCGACCCCCCTGCTTGTACGCCCGCCCGGCTGCCCTGACTGATTGTCAGATGGTGGTGGTGGGGGACGACTGTGCGCTGCCACCTCCCAGGGGCATTGCCGGGAGGAGAGGGCTCGCTGGGACGGTCTTTGTACACAAGGTGGGTGGGTGTGCTTCTGTATTGCCCATCAATGCTTTGCATCTGAATTGCTACCAATCCGAAGATGGTGGTGGTGGGGGACGACTGTGCGCTGCCACCTCCCAGGGGCATTGCCGGGAGAAGAGGCCTTGCGGGAACGGTTTTTGTTCACAAATTAGGTGGAAAAAAAGAAGAAGAAAAAAGAAGAAACAAGGTTCTTCTTCACACAAGGGTCAGGTTGGTTTCCTTCTTCCCCCTGTATACCAATTTATTTCCCCCCGCCGCACACCACATTCAATCCCCGAAGACCAGATCTTGTCTCCAAATCTCTGTCCCCCACCTGACGTCCCTTCCGCCTCCTTCCCTCCCTTCCTCCCACTGCAGGTGGCAGGAGCAGCCGCAGAGGAGGGCAAGTCACTCGCTGACGTGGCAGCAGAGGCTCGCCAGGTGGCAGGTGGGTACTGGCTGGACTAGGATTCACTGCGGGTCAGACATGAGAGAATGCTGGTTCCAAGAAAGGGCCCTTTCTTTTCTTTTCTCCCTGCGTCGGCTTTGCTCAGACTTTGTCACCATACCACCCCCAATCCCCTCCCCCCCTCCTTCCCCTCCCCCCCCTCCCTCCCGCTCCTCCTTGCACTGCTGACTTCGCCCATACCACAGGGCTGGTGGGCACCATGGGGGTGGGTCTCTCCGTGTGCACCGTGCCGGGGGGCTTCCCCTCCGATCGGCTCCCGGCCACCAAGATGGAGCTGGGGCTGGGCATTGTGAGTGGGTTGGGCATGGGGTGAATGGGTGAGGATGGGGTGAGTGGGGGTTATGGGGCGAAATGGGGTGAGTGGGGGGGAATGGGGCGAGCGACTGGGGTGCCATGGGTTGAGTAGGGGGGTATGGGGCTGGGTGTATACACGCGTCCATGTTGTCTCTATGTCTGAATTTCTCTGACCTACCATGCAACCACCCACCCACCATTGCATGCAGCACGGTGAGCCAGGAGCAGCGGTGGTGGACTGGACATGCAGCCGGTGGACGTGATGGGTTACCACTCTGTGATTACATGTACATTCATCCTTCCCCACCTTGCCATCCCCCACCCACCCATGCAGCACGGGGAGCCAGGAGCAGCAGTGGTGGACATGCAGCCGGTGCATGTGCCGGGTCACCCCTCTGTGATTATGTGCCTGTGTGATTGTGCCATCCCTCACCCACCCACCCCTCCATGCATGCGTGCAGCACGGGGAGCCAGGAGCAGCAGTGGTGGACATGCAGCCGGTGGACGTCGTCGTGTCGCACATGCTCAAAACAATCAACAACCCCGTGAGTCTAGCTCTAAAATATCTTCAACAACAACAACAAGAAAACAATTAAAGCGTCCGTCTGATATCAAATTAAGCGTCGGGCTCAAAACCATAAACAACCCTGCAAGTCATTTTCCAATCAAGTGCCTGAGAGCACCAAAGCCGCTTTCGAGAATTCTCGAAGCCGCTTCTTCAAGCAATTGCCCGAAACCATCAAATCAAAATTAGCCGCATCAGTGGCTCATGGGCTCCCAGTTGTCATGGAGAAAGAGGGAGGGTTCCTTACAGTGTCTGCCTTGTCTCTCCTCTTTCTCCCCTTCCATTCCTCCCACTCCCAATCCTCACTCATCCCGTTATCCTTCCATTCTTTCTCCTCCCATTCCCTTCCTTCCCTCATTCTTCCCCCCCTCATTGCTCCCAGGACACAGGCTACATGCCTCTCGAGCTTGGGAGCAGGGTAGCGCCCCGTCCTTGTCACTCCTGTTTCTCCCATTCCCTCCCCTCACCTTTTGCTCTCAGGAGACGGGCTACATGCCTCTCAAGCTCGGCAGCAGAGTAGCTCTCATGGTGAACAGGTATGGTGAATGAACAGGTATTGTAAACAGGTATGGTGAACATGTATGGTGGTCTTGGTGACCTGTTTTAAAGATTTTCCCCTCCCTTCACCACCTCCCCTCCACCCTCTGTAGCTTGTGTGCACCTTCAGCCATGATAGTTTTCTCCTGCGCTCCCATTTCCTCTGCTCAACCTTCTTTTTTCGCCTCTCCCCCACCTTCCCCCGTCCCTGCCTCCCTCCCTTCCACTACCCAATACCAGCCTGGGCGCAACACCAGCCATGGAGGTTATGATTGCGGCAGGCAAGGCTGTAGCACAGCCACTCCCCCCCTCCCCTTCCCCCCCTTTCCCCTACCATCCTCTCCCCCCTCTCCATTCCCCCAGCCTGGGCACAACACCAGCCATGGAGGTCATGAGTGCGGCTGGCAAGGCTGTGGCGCAGCCACTCCCCCTTTTCCCCATCCGAGAGTGCCCTTCCCCCCACCCCTCCCCTCCTTTCTCCCGCCATCCCCTCCCGTTTCCCCCCTCCCCTCCCCCAGCCTGGGCGCAACACCAGCCATGGAGGTTATGATTGCGGCAGGCAAGGCTGTAGCGCAACTACAGGTGAGGATGATGCAAATAGTGCCGCAACAGCTACCACCACTCACTCGCTCTGTCTGTGACTCTCTCTGTCCGCGTCTGCATAGCATCTCTCTGCACTCCTCTTCACCGCTACTCACGCCCATGTACACATCTCAACTGCTCTGCACCCCTCTGCATCCCTCTGCACGCCTCTCTGCTTGCCCCCGTGTGCACCATGGCAGGTGGAGCATGGGCTGGCAGTGGAGCGAGTGTATGCAGGCCACTTACTCTGTCTGTGTCTCTCTGCACCCCGCTGCACCCCTCTGCACCACTGTGTACACCATGGCATGGCAGGTGGAGCATGGGCTGGCAGTGGAGCGAGTGTATGCGGGCCATTTCATGACTTCCCTCGACATGTCAGGTGACAGGCTCTCCACACACAACCACACACAGCCACTGGTGCTGTCAGGTGCTGGTGCTGTCAGGTGGTGTCAGGTGCTGTCAAATTTTGTCAGGTGACAGGCTCCACACACACAGGCACCTGAAAGACTGTCACACATTCGTTGGCTTGGTTTGTCTCTGCTTGTCTTAAATGTCAGATTGCCATCCTCATTGTAACCTACATCAATCCTATAAGCTTAGGTTAGAGATAGCCACCCAAACTTAGTTTGGGTGTAGAACTAGGGCTAACCCTAGTTGGGGGTTGGAACTCAAACCTTGGCCCCCAAGGTTGGGTTGGGAATTATTGGTCCCCCCAATAATGTTGAACCACTTGGTCAACATTATTGGTCCCCCCAATAATCCCTCAACCCAACTTATTAGTGGGGGCCAATAATGTTGGCTTGGTTCCAACCAACCCACCCCCCTTTAGCACTACTATGTATACCCCCATCTATCCTAATCAACTCAATGGTTCTTCCTCACATTTTATCACATGGTAATCAGAGCAACAACGGTTAACACCGTCTCTCGATTCTAAGGACCACATTTAAACGCGTGCCATATCACGCCCCTCCTCACGCGACACTACGTCGCCCTTTGCGCCTAGTGCGCCTATACGCCGTCACGGCCCCCCTCCCCCCTCCCCTTGCGCCAAATTTCAGCGCCCTCCTCTCATGGCCCTCCACTACCCTCCCCCTCACAAACGCGCTGACATTCCGAACAGCCACGTCGACCGTCGGAACGGCCAGCGCAACCGTCGGATCGACCATCTCGACCGTCGGGACGGCCACATTGACCGTCGGGACGGCCACGTCGACCGTCGGAACAGCCAGAGCGACCGTCGGGACGGCCACGTCGACCGTCGGAACGGCCAACGCGACCGTCGGGACGGCCAACGCGATCGACGGGACGACCACGTCGACCGTCAAGACGGCTAGCGCGACCGTCAGCACGACCGCGCCAACCGTTCGAACGGTCAGCACGACCGTCGCGACGGTCATGACGACCGTCGTGACCTAATTCGCGATCGCAGACGGTCGCCACTGCCACGACGAACGGAGCCGTCCGTCGTAACCTAAAACGGGCGGACGACGCGGGCGCGAGCGAACGACGCACCTGTGTGCGACAGCGCATCCGCGGACGGACGAGCACCCGCGGGCGACGAGGCACATCCGCGGACGGACGTGCACCCGCGGGCGACGAGGCACATCCGCGGACGGACGCGCACCCGCGGGCGACGAGGCGCATCCGCGGACGGACGCGCACTCGCGGGCGACGAGGCGCATTCGCGGACGGACGCGCACCCGCGGGCGACGAGGCGCATCCGCGGACGGACGCGCACCCGCGGGCGACGAGGCGCATCCGCGGACGGACGCGCACCCGCGGGCGACGAGGCGCATCCGCGGACGGACACGCACCCGCGGGCGACGAGGCGCATCCGCGGACGGACGCGCACCCGCGGGCGACGAGGCGCATCCGCGGACGGACGCCCACCCGCGGGCGACGAGGTGCATCCGCGGACGGACGCGCACCCGCGGGCGACGAGGCGCATCCGCGGACGAACGCGCACCCGCGGGCGACGAGGCGCATCCGCGGACCGACGCACACTCGCGGGCCACGAGGCGCAGCCGCGAACGAACGCGCACCCGTGGGCGAACAGGCGCATCCGCGGACGGACACACACGCGCAATCGGCAAGGCGCAACCACGGGCGACACAACCGCAACTGCGGGTAACCCGGCGCCGCCGCACGCAACGTGACCGCACCACCTTTCCAGGTGGTGTCGTCCCTCCTCCCCTCCCCCTTTTTTGACCGCACCCGCCCTCCAGTCGGTGTCGTCACCCCCTCCCCCCCCTCCTCCCCCTCATGGCGGACGACTCTACTCCCATTGAGCTCGGAGCTATCGACAAGCTCGAGCTCCTTCATGATACCACCGCTGTGAACTGGGCGTCGTTCGAGGATACACTCCACACCCACCTTGGCTCTGTCATCATCCAAGACTACTGTCTCCTTGACATAGTCCTTGAAACTTCTAATGGCCTTCCACCCGTTCTCCCTCCTCCTCTTGCTCCCCCTCCCCCCGACGCCCCTCCACTTCCAGAACCTATTGACCCCCCCCCCAATCCTCCAGTTCATGATGATCACCCGGATCGCTGAGCGGCCAACTTGAACAACTACAATAAGCTACGTGACACCTACACCATCCAGCGTGAAGCACACCGTGTTGCGGAGGAAGCACATGCTGTCGCCGCTGCACGTATCCTCCAGTACGAAAAAGATGAGAAGGATCATGCTGAGGAGCTTCGCAAACTTCACAAGGATGTCGCAGCGTGGCGTGTTGCGAATCGCCGCGCACTCGCCATCATCTTCTCCTGCATCCCCTCACACCTCAAACGCGACCTCCGTCCCACCTCCTCCTCTGGCCTCTGGAAAACCCTCTCTACTCAGTATGATCGATAGGATCTTCGCTCCCTCCTTGCCCTCTTTCGCAAGTTCCAAGACACCACCCTTGACTCCTCTCCCACTGCTGCTGCCTACACCCGCCGCCTCATTGATACTGCACAACACCTCAACGATCGGGGCATTGTCATCTCTGAGTCTCTCCTTACTGCACGCATTCTCGACTGCCTCCCCCCCACATATGACACATACCGCATCACCTTCACCTCCCGCTATCGCCGCCCTCCTCCTGTGGCTGACACCATCGAGTGGCTTCTTGACAGCGAAGCCGACCTTCAACGTGACTCCACCACTATCAATGCAGTTCAGACTCGCAAAGCCCCCACAGGCAACCAGAACAGCGGCGGAGGTGGCGGCCACGGCGGTATTAGCAGTGGTGGAGGAGGACGTGGAGGTGGGCGAGGAGGAGGACGTGGTGGTGGCCGAGGTGGTGGGCGTGGCGGACACCCCTCACCTTCGGGCACCCTCCCCCCGTGTCAGTACATCATTCGCTATGGCTCCAACAAAGGTCAGCCATGCTCACAGACCACTCATACCATTGACACGTGCTTCAAAGCCCTCACTGACGAATGGTTTGACCGTGGCAATGTTGGCACCCCACCTCGCTGGAACACTGTTTTCCCACGCCCCTCTCCCCATGACATCCGCACTCTTCCCGCCTATCAACCCTCCACCCCCAACCTCCACAATGTCCTCACTCAACATCTCCCATCTCACATCCTCCAGCAAGTCCAGCATCTTCTCCCCTCATCCACCCCCACTCCCACTCCTCCTCCACCCACACCTCCGCCTCAAGCCCCTCCCCCGCACTACCCTCCACCCTATGCTGGCTGGCCTTACCCTCCTTACCCACCTCCTGGATATAGTCATGGACCTATTGGACCTGCTGCTAATCTTGCTGAACAGCCCTCCTCCTCCTCCAACCCTCCTGGCTTTACTCCGTTCCCCTCTGCTGGATTCATAGGACATGTTAGCACTGCTCCTGTTGATTCTCTGTATGCCCATGCTATTAATGAGTCTCTCTTCCAGTACTCCGCCTTTTCCTCCTCCTCTTCATGCCTTGAGTTTATCCTTGACAGTGGAGCAATACACACTGTTCTGCGCGATGCAGGCACACTGGTACCCCTCCCCACTCCCTCCACTATCCACAGAGCTGACTCCAGCTTCACCATCACAAGTCGACACACCTCCACCCTCCCCTGTCCCATCTTCCCCTCAGGTACAGTCACAGGTCTATACATCCCCTCCCTACGCAACAATGTGGTAGCACTGTGTGACCTCACCAGGTTCGGTATCACCGCCCTCTTCCCCGGTCATGCACGCCACTGCGACCTCTTTCACACCACCACTGGCCGCTTCATCTGTCGCATTCCCCTCTGCCCTCGCACAAACCTGTACACGTACCGCACCCCTCGCACCTCCATTCACCACCTCATCGCCCCCACCTCACCCCTTCCCCTCCCCTCACCTCCCCTCCCCCTTCCCTCCCCTCCTCCCATCCCCTCCTCCATCCCCTCCCCCCCCTCCCCTCCCCTCCTCCCCCCCCCCCCCCCCCCCCCACCTCCTCCTGTCACTGTCGTGACCTCACCCACCCCGCAGTTCTCCTTCACCATAGGTTGGGTCATCCCAACTTTGCCACCCTCCGTCAAACTGTCTCCACCCAACTCCTCGACGGACTCCCCCTCACCCTTCCCTCTCTCCCCCCATCACCCTCCCCTCCCTGCTCAGTATGCGTTGAAAGCAAACTGAAACAGGCCCTCCACAAGAGTCATCCCTCCTTTTCTCCCAAGCCTCTTGATCTCGTCCACATGGACCTCTGGGGCCCCAACCCTTCCCCCACCAGGCAAGGTCATAAATACCTGCTCATCCTGGTGGATGACCACAGCCGCTACTCCTCCGTCTCTCTCCTTCGCACGAAGGCGGAGGCCCCGGCTGCTATTATTGCTTGGGCTGAACAAGCACGCACCCATTTCAAACGCCCTGTCTCCCGCTTCCACTCTGATGGCGGTGGTGAGTTCCTTAATAACATGCTCTCATCCTACTGCACCACTCGTGGCATTATTCACACCTACACCCTACCTCATTCCCCTCAGCAGAATGGCGTGGCGGAAAGTAGGGTCCGTGAGGTCACCAAGACTGCTCGGTGCCTCATGGTCCATGCCTCCTGCCCGCCCTCTCTCTGGGGCTATGCCATCCTCCACGCTGCCATCCTCACTAACTTGTACCCTCATCCCTCCCGGCCCACCACCACTCCCACCGCACTCTGGACATCCAAAAAGCCCGACATCACCCCCCTGCGCGTGTGGGGTTCCATGGCGTATGTTCTCATACACCCTGTCGACCGCTCACGCAAAGCTGGGAAGCTAGCCTCCCGCACTCTCCCCTGCATTTTCCTTGGTCACAACACCTCCTCCCCGGACTATCTCTTCCTCCATCCCCCCTCAGGTCGCCTCATTCGTAGTCGGGATGTGGAATTCGATGAAGCCCACCCGTACTACACCTCCCCCAAAGCCCCTAACCCCCTCCCTCTAACCACTCGTCCCTTCCTCTGGACTGACACCATTCCCCCCCCACCCCCTCTCCCCTCCCCTTCCCTTCTCCCCCCCCCACCATTGTCCCCCCTGCACCCCCACCCCCTCCCCCCTCTCCCCCCGCCTCATCAGGAGACATCCTTGACCCCGTCCACCCTCCCTCCCCACCCGCTGCCCCTCCCCCTCCCTCCCCACCCGCTGCCCCTCCCCCTCCCTCCCCACCCGCTGCCTCTCCCCCCCCTCCTTCCCCTCCCTCCCTCCATGCACAACATCCCCCACCTCCCCCCTCCCCACGCCCTCCCCCACTCACTCCACCTCCATCCTCCCGGCCCCTACTTCCCACTCCCCCTCTCATACTCCGCCACTACCCTCACACCCGCTCCACGGTCCCCATTCTTGGTACCCCCAGGTCCACCCCCCCCTCCCTCCAGTCTCTCACATCCATCCCCCTTCTCCGCCACCATAGCACCTCCCCTCCCCCCCGCACCAGCACCTCAGGTTCTCTCAGCAGTCGCGCTCCCGTCTCCCTGCCCCTCACGGCAACTCTGCGAAGCCGAGCTGCAATGCAGCTGTCTCCCCGCCCCGACCCTCAGCGCAGCAGAGCACCAGTGCAGCTGTGTCCCCGCATCGGCCCGACCCTCCAGCGCAGCTGTCTTGCAACTCCCCCGCCTCCTCTTCCTCCTCCTCTCACTCCGGACCTCTCTGAAGACTCTCACGACGAGCTTCTGTTCCTCCACCTCCTCTCACCCACCATCGCCCCCGTCGTCCGCACAATGGCTGGCACTACTGTCCTTCTCTTCTCCACCACCCCCACCATCTACGAACCCACCACCTAAGAGCAAGCACTTGCCTGTCTTGATGCACCTCTCTGGATCGAGGCCATGGTCAAGGAGAGCAACGCCTTCATCAGCAACCGCTCGTTTCTCGACGTTCCTCGTCCCTCTAAGCACAACGTGGTCAAGAAAAACTACTCCCTGGCGACGCTCCGGTCTACAAGGCTCGATATGTGGCAAAAGGCTTCACACAAACCTATGGCTCATACTTCTTCGAGACCTACTCACCCACCGCCACTCCACCGGTCATTCGCGTGTTTTTGGACTTTGTTGGCAGACGTGGGATGATTCTTCACTCCATGGACGTCACCACCGCCTTTCTACAAGGCGACCTTCATGAGCTCATTTTTCTGGAACGTCCCAAAGGTTTCCACGCTCCTCACGACCCTACCACTGTTTGGAAGCTGCTACGCCCTGTCTACGGGCTCAAACAAGCACCTCGGGAATGGCACGCCAAACTCTCCTCCACCCTTCGCGCACTTGGCTTTCGCCCCTCCCGTGCCGCCTCCTGCCTCTTCCTGCGCCTCACCCCATCACCCTTCTTCATCCTCGTCTACGTCGACGACATGCTGCTGGCCGCTGACACAGCTGCTGAACTCCAGGAGGTCAAGGATGAGCTGCAGAAACGCCTTGCCTGCAAAGACCTGGGGGAGGTTCGCAACTACCTCGGCATGGAGATCACTCGCAACCTCACTGCCAAGACCATCACCCTCTCTCAGTCTTTTTACATCGAGAAGATTCTTGAGAGGTTTGGCATGAAAACCTGCAAACCCATCCCCACACCACTTGCATTCGGGCATCGGCTCTCCCCTCCCACCACTCCCGTCACCTCCCCTCACCCCTATGCAGAACTTGTTGGGGCCCTGATGTACGCCATGGTCTGCACTCGTCCCGACCTTGCATACCCAGTCAGTGTTCTGGCGCAGTTCGTTGGCACCGGCAGGCATGGTGAAGAGCATTGGAAGGCGGCCATGCGTGTTCTTCGCTACCTTCAGGGCACGAAGGACCATGTCCTCACTCTGGGTGGTGTGAACCCGCCCATTCTTCAAGGCTTCAGCGACTCATCTTGGGCCGACGCACAGCCCGACCGTCGCAGCTCTCAAGGATATGGCTTCACACTCGGGGGCGGCCTCATCAGTTGGCGCTCCACCCGCTCCTCCTCCGTTGCCCTCTCATCCTGCGAAGCCGAACTGTACGCGGTCACTATGGCGGCTCAAGAAGCACGTTGGCTCAGCTATCTGCTCACCGACCTTGGCTCTCCACAGCCCCGCCCCACCCTGTGGTGTGACAACGACATCGAAACACATGGAAGCAGTCTTTCATGGTCGCTCTAAACACATCGAGCTTCGCTACTACTTTGTTCGCGACCTTGTCCAAGATGGTCACATCACCGTTCGCAAAATCGCCTCCTCCGACAACCTCGCCGATCTCTTCACCAAGGCTCTCCACCGCTCTGACCACTCTGCGCTTCTGCGTCTCCAGGGACTTGCTCCCCGCGGTGGCTGATTCAGGGGTTGTTGCTCTCTCTCTTCCCAAGCTTATGGATTTCTGTAGGTTAAGGGGTTGTGTCAGATTGCCATCCTCATTGTAACCTACATCAATCCTATAAGCTTAGGTTAGAGATAGCCACCCAAACTTAGTTTGGGTGTAGAACTAGGGCTAACCCTAGTTGGGGGTTGGAACTCAAACCTTGGCCCCCAAGGTTGGGTTGGGAATTATTGGTCCCCCCAATAATGTTGAACCACTTGGTCAACATTATTGGTCCCCCCAATCCCTCAACCCAACTTATTGGTGGGGGCCAATAATGTTGGCTTGGTTCCAACCAACCCACCCCTCTTTAGCACTACTATGTATACCCCCATCTATCCTAATCAACTCAATGGTTCTTCCTCACATTTTATCACATTAAACCTATCCAGTATGCTGGCTTGTTTGCTTTTCGTCTTGCTTTGATGCCTCTCTCCCACAGGCCTCTCCCTCTCAGTGCTAAAGGTGGACGATCAAGTGCTGCAGCGACTAGACTCCCCAACTCTCGCCCCTGCATGGCCCAACGCATGCCAAGGTGGGTCCCTTCCTCACATGCCAGAGGCGCCTGAAAACTCTTGCATGAGTGACTTTTTTTTTTTTTTTTTTTTTTTTTTTTTTAGGCGCCTCAACAGCCATTCCCACATGCATGTTCATGTGCGAGGGCGTGAGAGCGAGGCGAGTGAGTGCGCTACCCACCTCAAGACACTCCTCCGCTCTGGCTCCTCCCGTCCTTCCCCATCCAGGTGCGCGACCAGCCACCAAGGTGCCAGTGCCGCTCCCTTCGATCTCCTTATACCTCGCTTCCCCCTTTACCCTTGTCTACTTCGCCTCAAACCTCTCCTCTCCCCTGTCTCTCTGCCTCCTCCCGTCCTTCCCCCTCCAGGTGCGCGACCAGCCACCAAGGTGCCAGTGCCGCTCCCTTCGATCTCCTTATACCTCGCTTCCCCCTTTACCCTTGTCTACTTCGCCTCAAACCTCTCCTCTCCCCTGTCTCTCTGCCTCCTCCCGTCCTTCCCCCTCCAGGTGCGCGACCAGCCACCAAGGTGCCAGTGCCGCTCCCTTCGATCTCCTTATACCTCGCTTCCCCCTTTACCCTTGTCTACTTCGCCTCAAACCTCTCCTCTCCCCTGTCTCTCTGCCTCCTCCCGTCCTTCCCCCTCCAGGTGCCCGACCAGCCACCAAGGTGCCAGTGCCTCTCCCCCCGGCCCCGCCAGGCTCTCAACCTGTACGTTCCCCTCCCATCCTGACCCATCCTGACCCATCCTGACCCACTTCTATGAACAAGTGCTTGAGACATCTCCCAAACAATTGCTATGCCGCCCATGCCTTCCATACCTCCGTGCTCCCCATGTCCCCATACCCCACTCCTCAACCACTCCCTCCCTCCCCCCACCCCCCGAATGCGGCATGCCACTACCACACCCTCTTATGCCCCCGATGCCCTCATACCTCACAAACCCCAGACCCCACGGCCTCCACCCCTTCACAAACCCCAGACCCCACGGCCTCCACCCCTTCACAAACCCCAGACCCCACGGCCTCCACCCCTCTGCACCCCCCCTACTCCCCCAGGCATCAGCTAGTGAGCGCCCGAAGGAACTAACAGAGGGGGGGCGGTGCATGGAGCGGTGCATCCGATGGGGCGCTCAGGCCGTGCTAGCTCTGGCAGCCGACCTGAATGCGTGGGATGGAACACCTGTGTCCATACCCCCCATGTCCCCCATACCCCCCATGTCCCCCATGTCCCCATTTCCCCCATGTCCCCCATGTCCCCCCCATTTCCCCCATGTCCCCCATGTTCCCGATTTCCCCCATTTCCCCCATGTCCCCCATTTCCCCCATGTCTCCCATGCCCCCCTACCCTTCCCGCATCTTCCCCTCACTCCCCACGCTGTCCAGGCGGTATCAGCATGCGAGCGCCCGAAGGAATTAACAGAGAAGGGGCAGTGATAAAGGTAGTGTTTTGAGACGTCTCAAAACACTACTTTTATCACCCGAAGGAATTAACAGAGGAGGGGCGGTGCGTGGAGCGGTGCATCCCACTGGGAGCTCAGGCCGTGCGTGCTTGCATGAAATGGAACACCTCTGTTCCCTGCCCCCCCAACCCCTACACCCCTCATGCTCCCCAGGCATCGGCGTGCGAGCGCCCGAAGGAATTGACAGAGGAGGGGTGGTGCCTGGAGCGCTGCATCCGAGGGGGCGCTCAGGCCGTGCTGGCTCTGGCGGCCGACTTGAATGCATGGGATGCTAAGATTGGCGATGGGGACTGCGGCAGCACGGTGAGGAGTTGGGTGGGGGAGACTTGTATGCGACCATACCAGCATATATTTAGGCAGAGGGTGGTGCTGGCGCTGGTGGCAGACCTGAATGCATGGGATACCAAGATTGGCGATGGGGACTGCGGCAGCACGGTGAGAAGTTGGGTGGGGGAGAGTTGTATGCGACCATACCAGCATATATTTAGGCAGAGGGGGGTGCTGGCGCTGGTGGCAGACCTGAATGCATGGGATACCAAGATTGGCGATGGGGACTGCGGCAGCACGGTGAGAAGTTGGGTGGGGGAGAGTTGTATGCGACCATACCAGCATATATTTAGGCAGAGGGGGGTGCTGGCGCTGGTGGCAGACCTGAATGCATGGGATGCCAAGATTGGCGATGGGGACTGCGGCAGCACGGTGAGAAGTTGGGTGGGGGAGAGTTGTATGCGACCATACCAGCATTTATTTAGGCAGAGGGGGGTGCTGGCGCTGGTGGCAGACCTGAATGCATGGGATACCAAGATTGGCGATGGGGACTGCGGCAGCACGGTGAGAAGTTGGGTGGGGGAGAGTTGTATGCGACCATACCAGCATATATTTAGGCAGACGGGGGTGCTGGCGCTGGTGGCAGACCTGAATGCATGGGATGCCAAGATTGGCGATGGGGACTGCGGCAGCACGGTGAGAAGTTGGGTGGGGGAGAGTTGTATGCGACCATACCAGCATATATTTAGGCAGAGGGGGGTGCTGGCGCTGGTGGCAGACCTGAATGCATGGGATACCAAGATTGGCGATGGGGACTGCGGCAGCACAGTGAGTGGGGATGAGGGGGCCCGTATGGAGCTGTAACAACATTCAAAGGGGGGTGGGGTGGGCAGTCAGGCCGTGCTGGCACTGGCGGCCGACCTGAATGCATGGGATGCTAAGATTGGCGATGGTGACTGTGGCAGCACGGTGAGGAGGGGAAGTATAGGGGGGTGAATGCAACTGTAGCAACATTCAAAGCAGGCGGCCGTGCTCACTGGCGGCAGACTTGAATGCATGGGATGGCAAGATCGGCTATGGGGACTGCGGCAGCACAGTGAGGGGGGGATTTAATGAGGGGGCTTGCTATTGAGGGGGCTTGCTATTGAGTAGTCGCTCACGTCACCTGGAATTGACTCAGAAGTTGCCATGAGTCGACCCAATGGTGCTTAATCTCTCAGCGAACCTGAATGCATGGGATGCCAAGATCGGCCATGGGGACTGCGGCAGCACGGTGAGCGGGAGGAGGGGAAGGTGGGGGGGGGGGGGGGGTTGGGGAAGGGGGCTTGCTGTTGAGTCGGATCGCAATCTGGAGCCATATGGGCGTCTCAAATGTGCGTCCAGTCGTGTTTTGAGTCGACTCAAAACACGACCCATATGGACGTCTCAAATGTGCGTCCAGTCGTGTTTTGAGTCGACTCAAAACACGACCCATATGGACGTCTCAAATGTGCGTCCAGTCGTGTTTTGAGTCGACTCAAAACACGACCCATATGGACGTCTCAAATGTGCGTCCAGTCGTGTTTTGAGTCGACTCAAAACACGACCCATATGGACGTCTCAAATGTGCGTCCAGTCGTGTTTTGAGTCGACTCAAAACACGACCCATATGGACGTCTCAAATGTGCGTCCAGTCGTGTTTTGAGTCGACTCAAAACACGACCCATATGGACGTCTCAAATGTGCGTCCAGCCGTGTTTTGAGTCGACTCAAAACACGACCCATATGGACGTCTCAAATGTGCGTCCAGTCGTGTTTTGAGTCGACTCAAAACACGACCAATCTGGACGTCCCAAATGTGCGTCCAGATCTACTCTGAGCTCATGTGGGTCCCATCCCATCCCAAATGTGGGGCAAGGCAGGGGGAGACCCCCATTAGCCATCCCGTCGCCTCACCTCAGATGTTCTTCAAGGGGAGGGAAGATGCCGTTGTTGCCTCTAACCATCCCATCCCCGGCAAGAGCAAGAGGAGATGCCGAGGTTAGAGGAAGATGCCGTTGCCTCTACCACTCATCACTGACACCTAACCTCGGCATCTCCTCTTGCTCACCTCATCCCCTCTTGCTCACCCCATCCACCTTCCCTTCCCTTTCCCGCCTTGCCCACGCGTTCCCTTCCCATCCCCACCTTGCCTGCCCCCGTTTGTTCAGATGAGTCGTGGGGCCAAGGCAGTTCTGGAAGCCCTCGCGTCAAGGTCCGCACTCTCTCCCTTTGCTCCTTCTCCCCCCCTCCTCGCTGCCTGCAACTTTCTGTCTCCCTGCCCACTGATTGAACTCCCACCTCCTAACTCCCTGTCTCCATACCCCCCCATTCCCTACCCTGCCATCTCCTACCCCCCTCCACTCAGCAACCCGCTCTACAACCCAACCCACTTCCTGTCCTCTTTCACTCCCTGTCCACTCCCTATCCTCCGCGTTCTCCCCCGCCCTCACGTCACCCCAGATACCCTCTCAACGATGCACCGGCGACAGTGAGGGAGATGGGCGCCAGTGTGCGCTGCTCCATGGGGGGCACCAGTGGCGTCATGTGAGTGGGGAAGGGGGGGGGTGGGGGGAGGAGAAAAGGAGGTGTGCTTCTGGCATGACTTGGGGACGAGTGGCTTGCGAGAGAAGTGAGGGAGATGGGTGCCAGTGTGCGGTGCTCCATGGGGGGCACCAGTGGCGTCATGTGAGTGGGGGCGGAGGAGGGGGGGGAGAGGGGAGGGGGGAGGGGGGAGGATGGGTATGAGAGGGCTGTTCCGTGCCTTGTTTTAATCACTGCTGGGCCTCTGCTTGCTGTTCGATGTGAATGATGAAATGACTTGTTCAAAAGTTGAGCAATCACCCCAACTCGTTTTGCAACTTTGCCCCGCTTTCTTCCACTCTCCTTTCTACCCAACCTGTTTCCTGCCTACCCCTGATCACTCCTGCTCACCCCTGATCACTCCTGCTCACCCCTGATCACTCCTGCTCACCCCTGATCACTCCTGCTCACCCCTGATCACTCCTGCTCACCCGTGCTCACTCATGCTCACCCGTGCTCACTCATGCCCATTCATGCGCACTCCTGTCTCTTGCATGTGAACATCCTTCTCACAGATGCGATACGACAGCTTCTGTCGCTCCTCGTATGTGAAGCTGAGGGAGCAAGCAGGCCCACCAGCAGAGCCCATCCCTGCCCACTCCTGCCCACTCCTCTATCTCTTGCCCATGCACATCTCACCTGCAGATACGACATCTTCTGCCGCTCCGCATATGTGAAGCTGAGGGAGCTCGCAGGCGCAGCAGCACAGCCCACCCCTGCCCACTGTTCGTTCTCTCCTTCTCTCCTCTCCCTCCTCTCCCTCCTCTTCCTGAACCCTTCCATTCCTCACCCACACTTTTCTACCTTCCGTGTTCTGTTTTCTGTTCATCTTCTGGCACTCCTGACTTCAATGCGGCCTACAGACTCTCTAAACTTCCGTTCCTTATCATACTTCGGTCCTTGCTTCTCCTGCCAAGCTTGGCTTGACCCGAGAGTCCCTCCTTTGGTTCCATGCAAACGACCGCCAAGTGTCCTCCTTTGGTTCAGTGCAATCGACCGTCAAGTGTGTGGACAGTATGTGCTGTGAGGTTCCCCCCAACAGCACAAGCACATTCTAGAGGCCATATACCAGATGCCTTCCAGCCCGCCGTTCCCACACTCACCCAAAAAAATGCTAAAAGGGAAATCTGAGACGTCATCACCCTTCTCTTCCCATCATCCCTGAATCATCCTCACGCTTTCCCTCCTTTTCCTCTCCCCCGACCCCGCATCCCACCCCCGTCTCCCCTCCCCATCCTCCCTATATCACCAGGGGCGGCTGCATTTGAAGCGGCGGTGGCAGCGGTGAGTCTGTACGGCGGCGCTCAAGCCGGCTACCGCACCATGCTGGATGCGCTTCTGCCCGCCGCTGCCAGCCTCTCTTTCTCTCAACATCACGCCAGGCCAGGAAATCTGACACGTGTCTCAATCCCTTCTCTTCTCGTCGCCCCTAACCCATCCCCCCTCCTTTTTCCTTTTTCCTCTGCCCCAACCCCCTACCCCCCTTCCCCTGCCTCCCCTCCCCTCCCCATCCTCCCTATATCACCAGGGGCGGCTGCATTTGAAGCGGCGGTGGCAGCGGTGAGTCTGTACGGCGGCGCTCAAGCCGGCTACCGCACCATGCTGGATGCGCTTCTGCCCGCCGCGGCCACTCTCTCTCGCAGTGTCAAGGCAGGGGAGTCTGCAGCAGCAGCGCTGGCTGCTGCTGCTCAGGCTGCTGCTGCAGGAGCCGAGTCAACCAAGTCAATGCCAGCTCTGGTGAGTCAATCAAGTCAATGCCAGCTCTGGTGAGTCAACCAATCAATGCCAGCTCTGGTGAGTCAATCAAGTCAATGCCAGCTCTGGTGAGTCAACCAATCAATGCCAGCTCTGGTGAGTCAACCAAGTCAATGCCAGCTCTGGTGAGTCAACCAATCAATGCCAGCTCTGGTGAGTCAATCAAGTCAATGCCAGCTCTGGTGAGTCAACCAATCAATGCCAGCTCTGGTGAGTCAACCAAGTCAATGCCAGCTCTGGTGAGTCAACCAATCAATGCCAGCTCTGGTGAGTCAACCAAGTCAATGCCAGCTCTGGTGAGTCAACCAATCAATGCCCGCTCTGGTGAGTTAATCAAGTCAATGCCAGCTCTGGTGAGTCAACCAATCAATTCCAGCTCTGGTGAGTCAACCAAGTCAATGCCAGCTCTGGTGAGTCAACCAAGTCAATGCCAGCTTTGATGAATTAACTGAAGCAATGCGAGCTCCTGTCTGATATCACATTTCTTTCCTCATTCTTGATAAACAGTTCCACCTTCCACCAACGTGTGGGGAAAGGTGTAGGCTCGGCATTGCTGCCCTGACCTAAAAGTCCATCTCCCTGTGCAATCCATTATCCATGCACCGCGTAATTCATTGACGCTGCACGACGAATTATTGAACATTCTGTGAGTCTTTGAACAATGTGATTCAATCAACACTGCATGGTTATTGAATCCATCTATACATGGTTCCTCTCTTCTCCAGGCTGGCAGGTCCAGTTATGTACCAGCAGAGGTGTTGGCATCGGTGCCTGATCCTGGAGCCATGGCTGTAGCGGCATGGCTGCAAGGTGCCGCTACAGCCATGCAACCTCCCGAGCCTGTAGTGGAGTCTGTAGCAGAGCCTGCAGCGGCAGCACCATCAGCACCACAAGAACAGTTGTAGCTTGAACCTCTTTGCAATGGCGCACCACGTGTTTGCTCTAGGCTAGAGCGAGTCGTCCATAGGTCAGCAGAAATATATGGCTGGAAGCATGCGTTATTGTTTCCACGTTCAATAAAGATGCGATTCAAGCTCGCTCACACGTACCTGCAACTGGCAGGATATGCATTGATGAGTGAGCGACTGAGAAACACATTGGTCTTATAATAAAATAATTATATTCAGAACAACATTGCGTATTATTGAGAAAGGTCTGGAAAAGTTTGGCAGACGCAGTTATCATGTTTTTGCGAAACAGCTTATGCGAAATTATTGTGTGCATCCGCAAACCTCCGAACCTCCTTTGTTGTCAGCCCCGAAGCACGTCTCCAACCAGTCAAGCAAGCCCAAGGCTGTGTGAGTGACAATCCCAAGGCTCAAGGAGAGGGCCTCCGCCGCATTCAATCTCTATCTAACCATTCTTGATCTTTCTTGGCCGCTGTGAAACTCCTTAAGCGAGCCATCCTGGGCACGTCCCACAGGCAGTCCAGTTGATGGTTGATGGCGGGAGGGCCATTGGGGAAACCGTACTGGCGGTTGCCTCGGAAGCAGAAGAGAGAGGACATGGAAGGCAGAAGAGAATGGATGGATGTTTCTGTCTCATAAACCGATTGAATAGAGTGGGATGCTGTAGGGTGCTGTGGGATAACGTAGGGTTCTTGTACTAGTAGCAGCCTCAGGGTTGTGGTGACGCAAGGACCTGTACTGCACCAGCAATAGGCCGCCTCCCGTCACGTGCTGCACGGCATGCTTCTTGTGGAAGCCTCTGGCGTTCCTTCCAATCCCAACAATCTTTCTCTGACATCAGCACATGCGGTTGGTTATGGTTGGTTCGCGAAATGGATTCCGTGCAAATGCCATCTCACCTGGAGGTTGTTGCTTCAGTGATGGATATTTTTTAGAAACAAAGTCGTGCACGTTGTACAATTTTGCAACAGCTTCCATTAATGTCAGTTTCGTGCCTAGGTTTCAGCTTGAAGTGATAGACTTGTTGGTTGGACAGGGCTAGCTTGCCCTCGCTCTCTGGGCTACTTGGGGTCGATTTAGATAGGGTAAGGAAGCGGTACCCTAGTCGATACCCTACAGTACTAGTGTGAGGCCAGAATGTGTATTCTTCTCCCGCCACATGTGCCCTTTCTGAGTCAACGCGGTGTTGAATCATGTAGCGTAGCCACGTCGAATGTTTGCCTTGGCCTCAGGGTCGCCGCTCTGACTTGCAACCCCGAGTGTTAGATTGGTCGAAAATGCATGCACTGTACAGCAAGCCCGTAGACTGTAGACCGTTTAACACACGAGCGGCGACTGCGAGTGAGAAGGAGAAGGATGAGGAGGAGGATGAGGAGGAGAAGGAGGAGGAGGAGCGCTTTTTTTCCAACAGAAAGCGCTTAGAGTCGTTAGAAAGCGTTCGGAGTTGTTCGCTTGCCGGATCGGACCATATCGTACTGTCGGACAGCTCACCTACGTGAAGTGCCTCCTATCACGTGGAGTGCTGACGTGAAGTGCAGACGTGGAGTGCAGACTTTTGAGACGTGTCGCAGAATTTTATTTTGAGACGTCTCGACTCGAATGAAACCCTTTTGCGATGCCTCAAGGACCTCGTGTGCTGTCCGGTACTGTCCGATTAGTAGCGACGGTGATCGTATGACGCGGAGGTCGATGTTTGAGTCGAACTAAAAATAAAAAAAGGTGAAATTGAGGGCTTCCTTTCACGTGAAGCGCGAATCGCAGCGATGATCCTGTGGATAAAAGCAACGCCATGCCAGCTATCGGAAATGATACAGCCTCCCTGACAGCTCATCCGTTCGCCACTTCTTCATCGCCATTTGATCCCAGCCCTGGGATGGTACTGTAGTAGACGCCATGATTGGTGCATCCACGGACAGCTCCGAGCTGAGTTAGCTGCCTCAAAGAGTTTTCAGGCGCCTCGAAAGTGATCTAGTGATCTCAACGGGTGTGGGATTGCCAGCCTTGGGATGGTATCGTCGTGGATGGGGAATGCGGCTCAGATGAGCGTCACTCACTCCCCACCCTGATCGCAACACCATCGCAGGGTGATGCTAGCTCTGGGACGCACGCCATTGGTGCATCCATGGATAGGGATACAGCTCAGATGAGCGTCGTTACGTCGCTCTCTCTGACCACTACTCCCCACCCCGATCTCAACACCATCACCGGGTGATGCTAGCTCAGGGACGCACGCCATTGCCATTGGTCGTCGCCTCTAAGCCATCACGTGGAGCTTGTGCTTTCCAGACCCAAAAGCCAAGGGTCCTGCGCTCTAGATTCAAAAGCGCAGCTATGCTAGGAATGCCGCACCATGTCGCGCGCACTGCTCAGGCCTGTTGCTAATTGCCTGTTGTTAATCGCCTGTTGTTAATCGCCTGTGCTAATCTCCTGTTGCCGGTCTCTGGGTAGGCGGCAGCTTCTGGTGCTTGTGCCCGCCTCTGGTAGCCCCTCGCTGTGCGCGTCTTCTCCCATTGCTCTCACACTATTTCTGTACTCAGCACTATTTTCACATATCTCTGTCTGATCCGCCTAGATTCGAGGAAACTTGGCCTGTTCTCTCGTATCTTAGAGTTTAGGGATGGATAGATCAATCAAGGGGCACCTTCACGCACGAGCGGCGTGTGGTTTGAAACGGAGGTTTGTAAGCAGTCCCTCATGTTGCTGCTAGTACCCAGGATGGACGAGACCACTACTGAACGCGAACCTACTTCCGCCTCTCGTTCCCCCGCCTCTCCCTCAAGTCTAGAGCATCGCCGCTATCCCGCCCCGCCACCGCCCGGAGATTGGATAAGGCTCGAGCAGTTCTCGAATTCGAATCCGAATTCGAACCAGTTTTGATAAGACCCGTGCTCTCCTTTTGAAAGTTAATCTCTCCGCGCCTTCCTTTGCTGAATTACGCAAAGCCGCGTTCCTCCCTCCCACTGCCGCTCAGCTCATGGTCGTTCAGCCGGTCTTGGAGGCGCCTAGAAGCGCGTTTATACCCTCCACTCCTCTGCTTGAATGCACTAAGCCGCCGCTCCTCCCTCCACTGCAGCTCACCCCACAGCCGTTCAGAGAGCCACCCCTAGGGGAATCCCATCATACCAAGCCTCTTCCTCACTACCGTGGATCGTTCTTCCTCGCTCTATTCTATCTTGGAGAACTCGCGTGCTTGTCAAGAGTCCTCGGTTGGCCATGGCTCCATGCGAGCTCGTGTCCTATCATGCGAATCACCATTGGGTGGAATCACCGTTGGCGCTGGCAGAATGCATGGTGATGCAGCAAGGGAGCAGCAGCAGCGGGAGTGTCGTCGTGGACATGACCCGCGGACAATGCCAATGCGCCGGGCAATGCCAATGCACCGCTGTGGACGAGCCTTCTCAACCATGGGCGTTTCTTCAACGAGTCGAGTCGACTTCTGGTTTTCAAGTATCATCTGCTTCTTCTCAGGAAACTGCGGCTTCTCAAGAATCAAGCGTTGCTTTTCAAGAATCAAGCGTTGCTTTTCAAGAACCCCTAACATCCGTCCGCCGTGACTCCTACTCCCAGCAATCACTGTCCAGCTCCCCTCCCGCCACTCACCCTCGCAGCAGCCGCCACTGCTCTTCCCCCTGCACGTCCCCCACTTGTTCCCCGGCTGTCCCTCACGCCCCCTCCTCCGTCGCCCCCACTCGATCCGCCCCTCACGCCCCACTCCTTCACACTCCCCCCGTCGCTCGCCCCACTCGCTCAACCACTCTCCCTCACACGCCACCCCCCCCCTCCTCTGCTGCGCCGCCCGCTCGGTCTCTCCGCAGAACCTTCTGGCGGCTGCTCCAGCGCTGCCAGCTGTCGGATGACGTGGCACTGCAGGCGCTGGAGGGGCGGCTGCAGCTTCTGGACGCGCACAGGGCGCTCAGCAGCGTGCGGTGCCAGCAGTTCGTGACAGCGTTTGAAGGGCCACACAGGGGGACTGCGCTTGAGGCATCTCTGGGAGCAACTGCGGCTGAGTCGACGCACAGGGCGCTCAGCAGCGTGCGTTGCCAGCAGTTTGTGACTGCGTTCGAGGGGCCCCAGAGAGCGGCGGCGTTTGAGGGCTCTCAGAGGGTGACAGCGTTTGAGGGGCCACACAGGGAGCTCACCAGGACACGATTGACCACCTCAGGGTCATGGGGTGATGCTGTTGCTGGTGCTGATGGTGCTGATGACGCTGATGGTGCTGTCATGGGAGCCGTGCCCGTGGCTCTTGAGGTGCGAGAACCAGGTGTTGGAGGGCGGACTGTGGCAGATTGCGCCGACGAGAATTCCAGCGATGGGGATTCCACTGGAGCGGGGCAGTGCACGCCGCATGCGCGTTCCTGGATGGCTGATCTGGCATATTATAATGAACCCAGAAGGTCCAATTCGCTCCAGCCAACTCCTTCACTCACTTCAACCCGCTCTCTCGCCTCAACTCCATCCTTTAATTCCACTCCCTCCCGTGGCTTCTATTCACTCAACTCAACTCCCTCTCTGGACTCAACTCCATCTTACACCTCCAACGTTCATTCCATCCCGTCAAGGAGGCGAAGCTTCTCTGGTGCAGCAGAGAGGCTTCCGAGAAACTTCTTGGGTGCCAGGCACTGTTCAAGAAGGCGAAGCTTCTCTGATGCTGTGGCCTACACGCCTCTGCCTCTGCACAAGCAGCAGCAGCAGTGGCAGCAGCTTTATCATCCGCAGCAGCAGGAGCACCATCGTCGTGCCAACAGTCACGAGCAACAGACTCACTATCAGCGGCACTCTCATCAACAGCATCATCAGCATCAGCATCAGCATCAGCAGCAGCATCAGCAGCAGCATCAGCAGCAGCAGCAGCATCAGCATCAGCATCATCAGAATCTGCAGCAGCATCACCCCAGATCTGTGTCAAGAGCTGAGATTCGCGGCAGCAGGTCAGCCCGTTTCAACCACACACCATCTGTTTTCGACTCACAATTTCCACACGCCCTCCGAGTCCCCTC